TATTTGGCATATCAAAACAAAACAAGAAGCTAGGACACAGTAAGCAAACATAAAATAAATAAATATAATAACTTATTGATGGCTCAGAGACAACAGTCAATATCAAATCACATAAAGAGGCAGTCCGTGATGGCTTCAGCAAGCTCCCAAAATAAAGAATCGAGAAATTTTCCAGAGGAAAAGAATGTCTTGGAATTACCGGAGGCAGAATACGAAAGATTAATATACAGAACTCTTCGAGAGATCAGGAAGGAGATCTGGCAAAATGCAGACCTAGCAATAGAAGAACTTAAGAAGATTACAGAAGAGCACAATGACAAATTTAACAGGCTGCAAGAATCCGTAGACAGACAGCAATCAGAAATCCAGAAGATTAACAATAAAATTTCAGAATTAGACAACTCAATAGAAAGTCATAAGAGCAGAACTGAGGCAATGGAAGTCAGAATTAGTGAGATTGAAGATAAAGCACTGCAAATCAACTTATTTGAGGAAAAATCAGATAAAAGGATTAAAAAAAAATGAAGAAACCCTAAGAATTATGTGGGACTCTATCGAGAGGAGTAAGCTACAAGCGATTACAGTACCAGAACAGCGGGGGATAACAGATAATATAATACAAGTTTCCACGGTGACGAAGTACTTAATGGTAACTGAGTTAGCATTAGAAAGTTTAACTCCTGAAAATTTGGCCCTTTACACATTTGCAGTTATTGAGACCTCTTAAAATTAAAATTAAGGAAGCACATAGTATTTTTAATTAAATCAGGAGGTAACAGGTATTATTGACTGCTCTCTTTGGGCTGGGAGGAAAAAAAAGACAAAACACAAGTTTAACCATGCTGCAAAGATGATTAGCAATTTTGGGTGAAAAAAAAAAAAACAGGTCAGCAAAGCTTCAGGCAGATCAGCTCTGGGTCAGGTATTTTCAGGCTTGTGGGTAAGAAAAACCTCTTGAAATCAAAGTAAAATGTTTATATTTAAATAATTTTCTTTTTCATATCAGGAATATCAGATACCAGAGTAGGTTTATTCCCTATAGAAGTTAGTATATGCTCTGTGTTTAGTAATTGCTCCTTCCTCAAATTCCAAAGCACTTTGACCAAACCTCCATCACTTTAAAAATTTTATCCTAGAACCATAAAGGAGTCTTTAATTTACCTGTTAGATTTTAGGGGCCTTGGGACAAAGATTCATATCTGATTCATCTTGCATCTCTCACAGAGACTGGTATATAAATAGAAACTCAACTATTTACTGAATGATTGAAAGATGAGTGCTTAGTTAATGTACCTTGACTGAGATGAAATACTTAGACCTTTCAGTAATAGTTTCAAAAAAGGCCACTTCGGCTTTGAGTATAACACAAATCACTTTAGATACCTAACAAGTCAGGAGTTAAACAGGACAGGTAAGTACTATATGCAAATAAAAAATTATATAGATCCCAAAAGTAAGTGATAACTTTTGATACACAGTATAATCAGTATATCTTTGATTACTCTATGCAAGGAGCTAAGGTAGGCACTAAGAATAAATGTAAGACACGGTACCTATCTTCAAGGATCAGAAAGGATAAATAATACAAAGTAGTACAGGCTAAGTTATACATAAGGATAATATGAATTCAAAGAGGGAACATCAATGAAGGCTGATGTAATGTGACAGAGAAAGAACTTAAGACAATTGTGGAGTTGAAGATACCCCTTAAAGGAAGGTAAGAAGCCAAGTATAGCGACCCCTCCCCAACATCAAATTCCTTTGTAATCCATTATATGTGAAATACCAAGGGACTACATTTAGAAAAAGGGAAGAGGTGGGAAGAAAAAAGGGAGCTAAAGAGTACGGAATAGCAGGAGAGAAAGTTTTGTAATAGAGGCTGGGGAAGTGGAAGCTGAGGAAAAGCAAGCATGGGCCCCATGACTATCTTCCTCTGATTTTAATGGGAGTGGCAGAGCTAGGCCAGAGCTATCTGTGAAGCTCTTATACAGTCTTAAGAGAAGCACAGGGTAAGAATAGCATTGCCTGTTTCAAAAACAAGTGGTCTGGTTTGTTTGGACCAGTATATAACGTAAGATACAGGTGGAAAAGACAGGTGAATGGTAGAGGACCCTAACGGATAGGCTAATAATCTGGACATAGGTTGAATACACAGGAGAACCACTGAAGGTTTTTTGTTTTGTCAGGGAAGCTAGAAGGAAGAGTGTTTACAAAGTTAATAGTATAAAATTAACCTTGTGAGTGCTTATAGCCAAGTATAATTCTCCCCTGTATTCATGAGGAGGTAGCTGGGGACTCCTCAATTTTGGTATCCCAAATTTGTTAATTTGGCTCCTATAAGCATACATTTTTTTTTTTTTTAATATCTAGCAATTTTGGATTGCATCCTAGACATTATAATGATACCTGGCATAAATTCTGGATTCTGTAATGTTCCTCTGAAGATTACTGATTTTTTTTTTTTGGTTCTAGTTAGCAAGTTAACTTGGCTGAATTCCAACTCTAAAGGCTGAAATCACAGCTCAATTCTTTTAGCCTTAGCTAGGCTGCTTGTAGACTGCCCTGGGTATACACAAAAGCCTGCCAGATATTTAGGCAAATATTATACCTAGACCTTAAAGCTCGTTCTGTCTGGCTCTTTCCTTTTGGGGATTTTTTTCCTTCTTCCTTTCTAGCTGCTAGGGTCACTCAAAACTCCATCCTTTACTTCTTTAAGCCAGTACGATGGAAGGCTTTCTACAGGGTTTTAGTCACCCAGTGCCCAGACTGGGGGTTGCCCTCGGCCATAAAAACAGGAACCTCGCCCAGCACCGTTCCCTTCTTCAGAGTGTGGAATCTCCTCCAGTATCTCTCTCCTTTTGTTTGCTCTTCGGTGCCTTCAGATAGTTGTTTTTCATATTTTGTCCAGAGTTTACAGTCACGTGAGGTAGGCGAGTTGATCCTATAGAAGCTACTCAGCCATTAACCAGAAGCAAAAACTGAAAATTTTGACAATAATAAAATTCCATTTATTTTAAAATAGTCTTCTCAGATTGACCTTTTTCACATTTGATAGTAAAAACACAAAACCCAATCATGTTTCTACAGTCTCTTATCTAAACTTCACAACAAATCTGTGACGTTACGGGTAAATGCTCATATTACAGGTGGGGAAACTGAGGACCCAGAGGGAAAGCTTACCAAATAACAATGCTGTTCATTATGGTGGTACCAAGCAGAGCTTCTGGCATTCCTTGGACCTCAGCAAAAGTTAGTATAGTCTCTTCGGGGGGCATCAAAAACTGTTTTTCTTTGCTTCTGCATTTTAAATAGCATTAAAAATCAGTACTTTGCACCAAAACAATTTCTAAGCAGTTCTTCTATACATTCTTGAACTATGCATAATGAAAACTAGCCTAATTCCAGGGGAAAAAAAATGTAAACCAGAAAACATGCATATTCTAATTTTCTTTTTACTTTGAACATATATTATTGTGCATATTATCTACTTAGATATGTTGCAAGTACCTCGAATTCATCATATCCAAAATTAAACTCACAAGTTTTATCTTTAAACCTCATGTTTCCCTCTACATTCCTTATCTCAACAAAGTATACCATCTAACCAAGTGAACAACCCAAAAACCCGGACATTATCCTTGTCTCCTCTCTCTTTAGTCAATCACCAGGTCCTAAAGATTTTATATTCTCATCTCTCAAATCTGTCTGCTTCTCTCCATCTCCACTAACACTTTCCTAATTTAAGCAAATCATTATTTGTCTTTTCCATAGATTACTTCAATAGGTCATGAATGAAAAGACAAGCAAGGTCTCTGCTCTCCCTTGTTAGAAAAGACAGATGGGACTAATGGACCACAACTACCACAGCTTCCACCAGACTAAGTCCAGCACAACTAGATGGTGCCCAGCTACCACCACTGACTGCTCTGACAGGGATCATGATAGAGGGTCCTGGACAGAGCTGGAGAAAAATGCAGAACAAAATTCTAACTTACAAAAAAAGACCAGACTTACTGGCCTGACAAAGACTAGAGAAACCCTGAGAATATGGACCCCAGACACCCTTTTAGCTCAGTAATGAAGTCACTTCTGAGGTTCACTTCAGCCAAAGACTGAACAGACCCATAAAACAAAACGAGACTAAAGGGGCACACCAGTCTATGGGCAAGGACTAGAAGACAGGAGGCAACAGGAAAGCTGGTAACAGGGAACCCAAGGTCAAGAAGGGAGAGCATTGACATGTCTTGGGGTTGGTAACCAATGTCACGAAACAAAATGTGTACTAACTGTTTAATGAGAAGCTAGTTTGTTCTGTAAACCTCCATTTAAAGTACAATTATAAAAAAAGAAAAGGAAGACAAATAATTAATCACAATAAACTGTGATGAGTATATGAGACACACAGGGGATGCTATAAGAGTTCAGCTTTCAACAGGTTGAATTTGAGGTATCCAGAAGATGTCTAATAAATAGGTATGCAGGTCTAGAGATTGAGAGACAGCACAGAGCTAGAGATACCTGTTTGCAAGAAGTCAGCCCCTAGATGGTAAGTGAAAAAATGGAAACAAAGTGAATGGAATACGAAAAAGGCCTAGGACCTTTGTTGTTGTTGTTAGGTGCGATAGAGTCCGTTCCAACTCGTAGTGACCCTATGTACAACACTGCCTGGGCTGCAGCCATCCTCACAATCATTGCTATGCTTGAGCCCATTGTTGCAGCCACTCTGTCAATCCAGTTAGGTACTTCTCATATTTAAGGGATGGAAATTTCAAAGAAGACCAAAGAAAAAGCAAACTATGTTTGCTGAGCCTCTCTACTCCACTGACATCTTCCCTGTCATGTCTAGCTTCTATCTCCCTAAACTGCTTGTACGCTACAGCCTTGTGCTGAGGCAATACCTGCTACACTACACCTAAACCAACTGCCATACACAGCTACCCTATACGACAGAGTAGAACTGCCCCGCAGGGCTTCCGAGGCTGTAATCTTTACAGATGACACATCCTGCTCTCAAGGAGTGGCTGGTGGGTTCAAACTTTCAACCCTTCAGTTAGCAGCTGAGGGCTTAAACACTGCTCCACCAGAGCTCCTTTATACTACATCTACAGCACAGAAAAACAAGATCCTAGCAGTGATCCTGACTTTCTGCACCCTGCGATAAAGTCATTCTCTATTTCATAGTTCAAATAAATCAATGCTTTTCTTACCCTCCATCTTCTGCAAATGTCATGATTTCTACTTGTTGATCACAAAGGGTCCCACTGCTGCTGACCAGCCTCCTCTTTGTCAGGCCAAGAACAGCTTTGATATTTCCGGATTTCAGTAGCAACTGCTTTTCGCTTCCATCATTAGAGGAACAAAGTAATGCCCTAAACAAAATAAAAGGAAAAATGGGGAGAAGTAGTCTTTAATATTAAAGGACTAGTTTCAAATTTTAAATGGAAATTTCATTCCAGGATGCCATTCTATTGATAGTTTATTTATTTATTTACTTTTTAAACAAATCTCTCTTTAGATCTAAATTCAGATTCTTTCAAGACTCAAGCCACGTTATAATGTGTACCTAACAGTCTGATAGAGACAAAGATAAAGAAAAAAAAAATCACTTGAGAATTACATACCTGATTTCTCTGATTTCCAAATTTCCCAAAGCCACACACACAAGATTACAAACATCAGGCACTGAAACTATTTGTAATACTGGAACCTAAATAAAACAAAACAGCCCAAAATTATATTTGGTTGTTTATTTTTAATATCCTGATGTCAATGGGGAGAAATAACTCTCAGAGAGCTGTGGTGACACCAGGCTGTCCAAGGTCACACAGCTAGTAAAGAGCAGTCAGGACTCAAACTCCTATCTTTGGGCCACAGCAAGATGCTCCTTCTTACTCTCCCACATGGCCTCTGGTGTTCCATTTTTAATTAATCTAAATTTTCCAAAATTTATCACATTCCTTTCTATTCTCACTATGCCAGGATAGTTTCTAACATTCAAATAAATATGAGAAGGTTCAGTAAACATCCCTTTTTAGTAAGCTGTAAATCCAAATAAGCTACATGAACAATGGTATTTATTGTAGCAAGGAGCCATAGGGGCACAATGGCTAAGTGCTCAGCTGCTAATCGAAAGGCCGGCAATTCAAACCTATCCAGTGGCTCCACAAAAGACCTGGCCTTCTGCTCCCATAGAGATTACAGCCTAGAAAACCCTATGGGGCAGTTCTACTCTGTCACACGGGGTCACTATGAGTCGGAATCCACTCAATAGCACCAACAACATTTACTGTAGCATTTATTTAACATAATCTATATGTCTAACAGTAGAATAATTAGCAAATTCTGGCATTATGCAGCCATTTAAAATTAAAATTTATTCATTTAACAAACATTTATTGAGCACTTGTGTGCAAAGCATAGTGCTAGGAGCTGGGGATATGGTGGAGAACAAGAATGACGATCAACAAAGAACAATACATAGAAACAAGAAAAATGTTTATATGGTGACAAAAGGTAGATTTAAAAATTTTAAGCGCACTAGGATTGCAACCATGTAAGATATGTGTGACTGGACAAAGACTAGAAGGGAATACATCTCAAAATGAAGCAGAAATAATGTTTGGTAAAGGGCAAGGAATATAGGTACCAGCAAGTTTAGAAGTCAGAATAGGCATGAAATTCCAAGCTCTTCCAATATCTCTAGCGTAAAAATCCATCTCTTTAGATAAACGTGTGATAAAGCAAATAATGGTGGGCACGTACAACTTTTCTATATGTTTGAAAATTTTCATAAAATCTTGGGAAAAAACTCATCTGTTGTCCCTTGCACAGTTATGTTGCTGTTGTTAGGTGCCACTGAGTTGGTTCCGACTCATACCGATCCTATATACAACAGAACGAAACACTGCCCAGTCCTGTGCCATCCTCATAATCATTGTTATCCTTGAGCCCATTGTTGCAGCCACTGTGTCGATCCATCTTGTTGAAGGTCTTCCTCTTTTTTGATGACCCTCTACTTTACCAAGCATGCTGTCCTTCTCCAGGGACTGGTCCCTCCTGATAACATGACCAAAGTATGTGAGACAAAGTCTCACCATCCTTGCTTCTAAGGAGCATTCTGGCTGTACTTCTTCTAAAACAGATTTTATTCTTTTGGCAGTCCAAAGTATATTCAATATTCTTCACCAACACCATAGTTCAAACATGTCAATTCTTCTTCAGTCTTCCTTATTTATTGTGCAGCTTTCGCATGCATATGAGGCAACTGAAAACACCATGGCTTGGGGTAGGCGCATCTTAGTCCTTAAAGTGACATCTTTGCTTTCGAAAACTTTAAAGAGGTCTCCTGCAGCAGATTTGCCAGTGCAGTATGTCGTTTGATTTCTTGACTGCTGCTTCCATGGGTGTTGATTGTGGATCCAAGTAAAATGAAATCCTTGACAGATTCAATCTTTTCTCCATTTATCATGATGTTGCTTATTGGTCCAGTTGTGAGAACTTCTGTTTTCTTTATGTTGAGGTGTAATCCATGTTGAGTCTGTAGTCTTCTATCTTCATCAGTAAGAGCTTCATGTCCTCTTCCCTTTCAGCAAGCAAGGCTCTGTCATCTGCATAACGCAGGTTGTTAATGAGTCTTCCTCCAATCCTGATGCCCCGTTCTGCTTCATATAGTCCAGCTTCTCAGATTATTTGCTCAGCATACAGGTTGAATAAATATGGTGAAAGAATACAACTCTGACGCACACCATTCCTGACTTTAACCCATGCAGTATCCCCTTGTTCTCTTCAAACGACTGTCTCTTGGTCTATGTACAGGTTCCTCATGAGCACAATTAAGTGTTCTGGAATTCCCATTCTTTGCAATGTTATCCATAATTTGGTATGATCCTGCACAGTCACAGATCCCAATTTTGGTATGCTGCCCATCTATATTATCATGCAAATGAATACAAAGATCTATTTCAGCTCTAAGATTTCTGACTTACCTCTGTGAAGTGCCAGGTATAAACTTTTTTCCACTGCCAAGTATCCAGAGGTTTCCAAAGAGAAACTACATATTCACAAGCAGTTATGATGCATGGCTCTTTACAACCAGCTATTTCCCACCAAGTGGTACTCACATCCACGGAACAGGATCCTGAAGGATTCTGACAACGAAACAGCCACAACAGTTATTTTAAAGTGATACTGGAGGTCTGTTTTATGAAAAATAAAATTTGAAAAGTGATGAATTTCAAGGATTAGATGAAATATCAGGTTAGTGTAATTAAAGTTTTACGCAGTTCAAAAGATAAAGAGCTTTGGGGGTCTTAATGTAACTTAAAAAAACTGTCTATACACAATTATAACTTGATAGATTTAAAAATATATAATTTCAGAATAGGCTAAATTTAGTTTTAACCACAAAAAAGGATGCCCATAAAAACTTATCTACTTAGAAATTAAACATCCCGATCAACCACTCAGAGGTTGAAGAGGATATAAAAATTGAAATGACACACTTTTTATAAACAAACAACAGGAAAGCACTGTATATTTAAAACCACAAGGCATGGCCAAAGTAGTATTTCCAAGAAAAATTTCAATGGTATTTATTAGAAAGTAAGAAATATTAAAATAAAGGAAGAATGCAACTCAAAAAGTTAGTAAAAGAATAATAACAGAATAAAAAAATAAACACAATGAAAAACAGAAGAAATTATTAAGGATAAAATTCGAAATAAATGAAACAGGAAACAACAAAAAAACCCCAATTAATATTCAATACAACCCCAAACTGATTTTTTTTGAAAGCCCAACAGAATGGATAACTCTCTGGTAAGTCTGATATAGGGGAGAAAAAAACAAAAAAGTATGTATTATTAGAAATGGCCCAAGCCCAGGTCAAGCCCATTGCCCTCAAGTTGATTCCGACTCACAGCGACCCTATAGGACAGAGTAGAACTGCCCCGTAGGGTTTCCAAGGAGCGCCTGGTGGATTCGAACTGCTGACCTTTTGGTTAGCACCCATAGCTCTTAACCACTACGCCACCAGGGTTTCAGGTGGGAGGCTTAATTATATACACAGACAAAAAAATTTAGAATAACTTTTTACATACAACTTTGCAAGAATGAAATGTTAATTCCTTAAGAAACTAAGTTATTAAAATTGACTTAAGAATAGCTTTGAAATAGACCACAGCTATTATGATCTGCCTTTTACAGAAAAGGAAACTGGGGCTCAGAGGCTAAATAATTTGCTGATTTGCTGAGGGTCATATAGTTAGTAAGAGGCAAAAACAGTCCATATGGCTTTAAAGCTCTCTCCTCTACACCAGTGGTTTTCAACTGGGGGTGATTTTGCTCCCCCAGGGGATGTTTAGCAATGTCTGGAGACATTCTGGTCATCACAGCTAGGGAGGGGGTTACTACAGGCACCTAGTAGGCAGAGGCTAAGGATGGGGCTAAACATCCTACAATGCAAAAGATGGCTCTCCAGAACACAGAATTACCCAGTCCAAAATGTCAATAGTGCCGAGGTATACTAGTTACATCATAATTCACCATAAACAGTTATTCTAGAAACATTACACCATTGGAGTAACAGAGGCATGAATGACTCTTTTCTGTCTCTCTCCTTCCCCCGCCCTCTTTTGATCAGAATGCCTGATTTAAATTTAAATACAAAGTTGAGTTACTTAGCCTACATTGCTGTTGTCAACAGCTTCACGTATAAACTTCCTCAGAAGATCTCAAAATATAAACACAGGTAGAATATTTTGGAAAACAAATCTGTTTTTCTGAGTCTGTTTTACCAATTTCATTTAATAGCATTAAATAAAGAACAAAAAGCTATATGATCAAATTCTTTTTCATTTTCCTATCAATCTGTTAAATGTTGCAGAGATGTAAAACACAAGACACACTATTAGGAAACATTCTTCTGACCTTTAACTTAGAAATCAATTGTAGGCTGCCTGGGTTTAGGCTATCACAAGTAGGAAGGTCTGCTATTTCAGCCTGTGGAAACAAAAGTCACACCATTAATCTAAGCTTTATGAATGATGTCTGCCTGCATCACTCACTCATCAAAATGTCTCCTTCGTATATTTTTATTTCCTCCAGTAACAGCAGCAAAGCTCCAAGCGCAACTGCTTCACTAATGACAAAGAAAACAGGATCACCCTGTATTTTAAAAACACTATTTTAATTAATCTTAATTTCTCCAGAATAAACAATATTTACAATGAAGTCATATCAAAGAAACACACTAAAACATTCTTAAACACCGAGAGGCCAATGTGTAAGAAGTCATGCTGTCCATAGTTACTAAGACATTTCATTTCTTCAAAGAAAATTTCATGAAGGAAACAGATTGTACCTGTTCAACTGACTCATTACACAACTCCAGGCGTGTACTTCCACGTAGCTGATTTCCTTTGGCAGTTAATGACTCCATGGGGAGAGGTGCAGGTTGGGAGCCCGAGTCACAGTTTGGTTGTCCTTTCCTATCTGACACATGAAGGGTGGTATCCAATTTTGAGGGACTGATTGAACTGTTGCATTGTTTGTTATCATTAGCAAGACTGACTGTGTCTTTCGACTGAGAGAGTTGGGGAATATAGCAAGTATGTCCAACAACCTCTGCAGACACATTTTCATAGTGTGCCTGGGAGTCAAAAGCTGGAGTAGTGCCTAAGATGGGGAAGGCAGGTGAACACATATCTGCTGTAGGCCTGTCATTATCATCAGGTGCAACAGTGTTTGAAGGAGTGAAAAGTAATATGGATGAAGAGAGCCCCTTCTTAGACTGGCTTTCCAAGTTTGGCATTTTAGGATGTGCTTTTCCTGGTAGAACAATGAGTTCCTTTTCCAAGACTTCCTTTTCTGTATCTATCTGTTTAGGAATCAGTTCCTCCCAAACAGTACAATTTCCCTCTTTAAGATGCCTCTCTGCACATGTTTTCAATGCAAAAGACTCAATCATTTTTTCTGAGCAGGACTTCAGTTTTTGGAGCTTAAGCAGTCCGAAGTCGTCATCAGGTAACTGAAAGTCTGTGATTTTGAAAAAAGATGACAGAAACTTTAAACTTAGCATTTCATCCTTATGAAATAGAGGATTGAAAGCATCACGATCCAAAGCTAAAGAATAAGCCTTATCTCTGGATAAAAGGGAGTTCTCTTTTTGACCACGACCATCCTTCCCTGAAATAGAAAAACAAGCAACAACAATAATAACAAAGCCTGAGAACAGAAACACTAATATTCAAAAAGGAGAGTACCTTTAACACAAATATAGTACAAAATGTTCATTACTTTTCCATCCACAGCTCTGAAAACTCAGTAAAGGATTCAAAATATTGTCATAGTTTAGTGGTTAACTAGCAGTTCTCCTTCTCCTCTTTTTTAAAGACTATTTTATTATGTTTTCCGTGAAGGTTTTACATAGGAATTCAGTTCCCGTTCAACAATTTTTACACAAGTTGTTCACTGACATTGGTTAGCAGTTCTCCCTTTCGCAGTACCAAAAAAGCAGAATAGTGTGCTACTGACAGCATTAACCGAGAGAAGGAAGACCCCAGTCTAGTCTCAGCTCAGCCACTGATTTGCTGTTACCTTGAGCAACTCAATTCACTTCATCTTCCCTCATCTCTCGTAGTCCCTTGTAAGGGGACAAGACTAAGAATCTCTAAAGTCCTTTTCACCTCTATGATTCCATCAGGCTACCAATACAGTCTACAAAACACTAGCTCTTCTTACTGAAGAAAATTTAATCCTCTTTTCAAGCAAAGAGTAACTTACTGCTCCTAAAGTGACTGGAATTTTATACATTCAAATTGTGGCTGCAGATCATTAAAATCACAGCAGACTACTTCATTCGACCCAAAAGGATATTTCCAGTTTATTACTGATTGTCTTACTTTCTGATTCCTTTGCACAGTATTCTTGCTGCCTTAAAAGAAGACCAAGAAAGTCAGAATGATTATTATTTTTAATTTAATTAATTATAGCTCATAGACCAAAGTGTGAGTCCAATGGTATAAAGCAGCCTACCACCTGTTTTTATAAATAAAGTTTTACTGGAACACAGTAATGTTTACATATTATCTATGGTAGCTTTTATACTACAGTTGAGTAGTTACAACTGAGACAGTATAAAGACTAAAATATTTACTATCTACCCATTTACAGAAAAAGTTTGCTGATCCCTACTATAGAGCCATAGTGAATTATCCACTTTTTATGCTCAGTTTATCTCACTTCTGAATAAATGAATTAAAAAGCTTAAATTATAACACAGCGCTTGCCATCCTGTGCCCCACATAACTTAGAAAGACTACATTAGATATTTTATCCAAAAAAGTGCATTTTTTAAATATGATCACACCTAAGGGAATTTGTCAGTAAACTTTTACTCATACACACTTGCTTTTACTTCAAAAAGGCCTCTGACATTAGTTACAAAGCTTCTACTCATGGATAAAGGTCATGTTGTACCTGAACAAGTATTGTTGCTGGGTGCCATCAAGTCGATTTTTGCCTCATAGCGACCCCATAAGACAGAGTAGAACTGCCCTACAGGGTCTTCTAGGCTGTAATTTTTATGGGAGCAGATTGCCAGATGTTTCTCCTGCAAAGCCACTGGCTGGGTTTGTACTACCAACCTTTCATTAGCAGCCAAAGGCTTAACCACTGCTCCACTATGATCCTTGAAAAATAATAACTTTAGGTAAATACCTGTTATATTTCTTCTCAGTGTCTACCTTTTCAACCACATTAATGAACTCTGGCACCATACTGCCAAGTTTGAATCCTGGCTCTTCCACTTACGAGCTGTGTGCCCTTGGTGAGTCACTTTAACCTCTCCGTCCCATAGTTTCCTCTAACGCCAGGATAAAAATAGATGCTACCTCATATAGGGCTGCTGTAAAGATTCAGTGATTTAGTATCTGTACAGCATTTAAACAGTGCCAGGCACAGAAACCAAAAAACCAAACCCACTGCCGCTGATGCCCATTCAAGGCAATCCCATAGGACACAATAGAACAGTGTTAACTACCATCATCATCATCCATCACATTAACTCTTCTCACCATGAATTTCTTTTTCATTTTGATATTTGTGCAAGGTGACTTCTTCCTTGGATCTGGTAACACCTGATGTGCCAGAAGTTGGCAAAATAAGTTCATGATCATCCAATATTGGGGTGCATGTTGATTTTCTTTTTCCTCTGTTTCTTCTACTAGATGGCTGGGCAACTGACTTCCTAAAAAAGTCATTATCTTTAGCAGGTCTGGTGGGACGGCTGACCTCAGTTAATGAGACAATTTTCTGAGGACTTCTTGAACTTGGTTGTCCTGTCCATGTGTCAGATACCCTAATTTCACTTTGGTCAGTTTCTTCATAGGAAAGGTTTAAATTTTCAGTTGTCTCCTTATTTTTAAATCCTTTCTTCTTGACATCCAAATGACTCTGATTTACAGCTTCCAAGGCTACATTCCTTTGGCGATTTGACATGCTTCGTGTTGTTCTAACATAATATTCTGCAGGAAATAGAAGACCTTCAAGCATTGTACAAGAATATGTTTGATCTTCTGTAGAAACAGGAGAGACTGATTCCAGGCTAAAACTCTTAGATTGATTTAGAACCTCATTCTCCAGAAGACTTTCATTTCTACCATCAGGAATATTACTGGGAGGTTTTAAAGACTTCTCAATGTGATTCCGTTCTTTTAAGTTTTGGTTTTCACTTGCCAATAAGTTATTGTAAGTGAGCTCATTTACAAAACATGAATTATCTGCCACTAAGTTACGGCTTCCAGGCACCTGGTCACCTGCACTTACATTTTTATTTACCACTGGGTTATTTACAAAGACAGTCATTTTTTTACCTTGGGCCTCTAAGTTTACAGGTGAAGTAGTGCTAATGTTAGCAAGCTCACAGTTAGCTTTAGGAGGTATGTGTTCAAGTTGCTGGCCTCTACTAGTATCTGAGGGAGTATGCAAATGAAGTGTAGTTGCCCTGGGGAAATTATTCCCTCTTAAGAGTCCATGAGTATCTCTTTCTGGCTTGGCAGTTGGTGGAATTAATACATTCCTTTCATTAGTCTCTGTAACTAATGCTGGAGAATCTGGAATTTCATGCTTAGGACTAGAAAGGTGAGTTTTTATTTCAGATACTGGAGTCTGAGGATTTTCCCTATTGATTTTTTCCTGTTCCTTTATTCTTTTTCCAGAGAGTATAAGTGAATCACAGTCAAAGGAAGATTCTCTCCCCTGAGAAATAAATGTTCTTTTCTGCTGCTGCTTTCCTCTCCCTGGCAGCTTATTCTGCCTTTTCTCACCATCAGGGTCACTGACCCTGTAGGGAAAATGTTCTTGGATACCATCTGTTCTTTGTAGATGTGATTCTTCCACTGGGCCATCTCCAAGGTTAAATGACTCAGGCTCAATATCAAGGGTGATACATGTCTTTTCTCCAGTTTCATCATCAAGATGGGTGCTGATTTGTAATTTTTCAAAAGGAGATACTTTATTTTTAGGTTCTGAGGAGAAAAAAAACACATAAGTAATATTTTCCTTTTAAAGGGAAACAAAAAAAAAACCTCCATATTTTTTAAAAAAATATTATAAATACTACAAAATGTTTATTTAAGAAAGATCAATGGAATTTCATCCAGGCATATCAAGGTCCCCATTTTTAATAAGCTAATAAACTATGGCAATTTTAAGTAAATAGAATAGAATTAAAGTGAAAAAAGTTTTTTTTTTAAACTAAAGATAATTGATTATTTGTCACAATCACCTTTTCATTTTTTAATCTCACCTAATTTTTTATATCCATCTATTACTTCTTTGTTTTTGGCTCAAGTGATTTTAACACCACTTCCCTATTTCAATAGCTCCCAATTTTGTGATTATAAATTATCTAACTTTTAATACGAGAAATTACCTTTGTTTTTTAATTTCTATCCAGACTTTTTCCCTCTGTAAACATATAAACATATATTTTAAATCATCTTCCTAATATTTAAGTAATAATGTGTAAGTTCTAAAAGCTAAGGGGGGGAAAGAGCAACTAAATAATCTAACTGAAAATATAAAGAGTCTATTGTTCAGGGAATGGGAGAAAACACTTGCAAATCATGTATCTTGTAAGGGTCTTATATCCAGAATATGTAACAAACGTTCAACAATAAAAACGCAACCCAGTTTCTAGAAGGGCAAAGGACTTGAACAGACATTTCTCTAAAGAGGTATACAAATGGCCAATGTGCACATGCAAAGATGTTAAACATCGTTAGTCATCATTGCTGTTGTTGTCGTGGTGTGCTGTCGAGTTGATTCCTATTCATAGCTACCCGATAGGACAAAGTAGAAGTGCTCCTAGGGTTTCCTAGGCTATAATCTTTATGGAAACAGACTACTATATCTTTCTCTTGTGGAGCAGCTGGTGGGTTCGAACTGCTGACTTTTCAGTTAGCAACTGAGCGCTTAATCACTGTGCCACCAGAGCTCTTCATTAAAACAAACAACTACAAAAAAACCCAAACCCACTGTCGTCAAGATGATTCTGACCCACAGCGATGTATAGGACAGAGCAGAACTGCCCCATAGGATTTCCAAGGGGGAGCTAGTGGATTTGAACTACCAACCTTTTGGTTAGCAGCTGAACACTTAACCACTGCACCACCCAGGGTTCCTCATTAGTCATTAGGGAATTAGAAATCAAAACCACAGTAAGCTACCACTTCACATCCATGAAAATAGCTATAATAAAAAACAAAGACAGAAAATAACAAGTAGTGGCAAAGATGCGGAGAAATCGGAACCCTCATACATTGCTTATATGAATGTAAAATGGTACAGCCACTTTTGGAAATAGCTGGCAGTTACTTAAAAACTTAAAACACAGAGTTACCACATGACCCAACAATTCCACTCCTAGGTATACACCCAAGACAATAAAAAATATATGTCCACACAAAAACTTGTACATGAACGTTCATACAGCATTATTCATAATAGCAAAAAAGTGGAAACAAAGCAAATGTCCACCAACTGATGAATGGATAAACAAAATGGGATATATTCATACAATGGAATATTATTCATCCACAAAAAGGAATGAAGTACTGATATACGCTACAACATAGATAAACCCTGAAAACATTATGCTAAGTAAAAGAAGACACAAAAGACCATATATCATATAGTTCCACTTATATGGAATGTCCAGAATAGGCAAATTGATAGAGTCAGAAAATAGATTAGTGGTTGCCTAGGGCAGGGTGAAAAGGGAAATGGGAAGACTGCTAATGGGTACAGTTTCCTTTTGGGGAGATGAAAATATTCTCAAATTAAATAGTGATGATGGTTACACAATCTTGTGAATCTTGTGACTATACTAAAACCCACTGAATTACACACTTTTGTCTTAGTTATTCAGTGCTGCTATAACAGAAATACCACAGATGGATGGCTTTAACAAACAGAAATTTATCGTCTCACAGTTTAGGTGGCTAGAAGTCTGAATTCAGAGTACCAGCTCTAAGGGAAAGCTTTCCCTCTCTATTGGCTCTGGAGGAAGGTCCTTGTCTCTTTGGCTTCTGCTCCCTGGTTCTTTGGAGATCTGCATGTGTCTTGGCATCTATCTTACCCCATCTCTCTTATTCGCTTGCTTAATTACTCTCTTTTATATCTCAAGAGATTGACTCAAGGTACACCCTACATTAATCCTGCCATCTTTAACATAACAAAGACAGCCCATTCCCAAATGGGATTATACAACCACAGGCATAGAGGTTAAGATTTACAACACATATTTTTGGGAATATAATTCAATCCATAACATTCTACCCTTTGGCCCCCCAAAAAAGAAATGTCTTTGCTATATGCAAAACACATTCACCCCATCACATTATCCCAAAAATCTTAAATCAACTCCAAGTCCAAAATCTCATCTTCTGAATCATCTAAATCAAATATGGGTGAGACTTAAGGTGTATTCCATCCTGGAGCAAAAGTTCTCTTCGTTTGTGAACCTGTGAAATCTAAACTACAAGTTATCTGTCTCCAAAGAACAATGGTGGAACAGGCACAAGGTAGACATTTCTGTTATAAATGGGAGAAACGGGAGGGAAAGAAGGGATAACGGACACCAAGTAAGTCCAAAACCCAGCAGAACAATTTACATTAGTGCTCAAGGACTGAAAATAATCCTCTGTTCTTTGGGACCATCTGGGCAACGGCCCTGCCCCTCCAGGCTCTGGGTGTCGGCCATGTCCTTGGCCCTGGGCTCCAGCTGTGCCTTCCAGGCCCTCTGGAACAGCAATTCTGCTCCCTCAGCTTTAGGTAGCCACATTCTCCTAGTCCCTTTGAGTGGCGACCCCACCCCTTCAGCCCCGGCAGGCCCCCCGTTCTGCCCCTTGGGCATGGCAGCCCCAACCCCTCAGCTTTGGGCAGTGGCCCCATCCCCCTGGCACACCTTAATGGCAGCCCCATACTCCTGAACTGAATTGGCAAAGATTCGACTCTTTGAAACCTAGGAGGCTATGGCCCCACCCTTTGAGATCCAAGAGACTATGGTCCTACCCTTTGAAACCGAGAAGGCCCTGCTTCCCATGCTCCTTCCAATAGTTCTGTTGCTGTCCAAGCTGTTCCAGTGATGGTCCTTTTCTTTTCTTGGAAGATAGCAGATGTACTTCTTTGCCTGCTTCCTGTCTGTAGATTTCCAAGAGGCCTATAGAATTCCTTCAGTCTAAGTTGATGAGTTTTATGCTGTGGTAGTTGGTTAGGTGCAGTCACAGGCTTAATCTCTTTAATAAAGATTGGTGTAGCCATGTTCTTGGTGAACATTCTAGGACACATACCCTTAGTTTGTACAACAGAATTTTCCAAATCTTTAAGTTCTGTTTTCATTTTGCACAGTTTACTTTTAAATCTATCTCTTTCCTCTCACACTTTACTATAAGCCGCAAGGAGAAACCACACAGCCTCCTTAATATCTTACTTAGAAATCTCATCAGCCAGATATCCAAGTTCATCACTTGCAAGTTCTACCTTCTACCAAACATTTGAACATAATTCAGACAAGTTCTCTGCCACTGCATAAAAAGCATCGCCCCTTCTCCATTGTCCAATCACATGTTCATCATTTTCGTTTAAAACCTCACCAGAAGCATACTTAACATCCACATTTCTAGCAACATTCTGTTGCTGGTACTATATGTATTCTCTAAGACAATAAAGACTTTCTCTATGGCTCTCCTCACTTCCTTCTGAGCCCTCACTAGCATTGCCTCTGACATCCATAATTCTACCAACAGTCTCTTCAAGGCAATCTGGGCTTTTACTATTAGGCACCTTAAAACTCTTCCAGCCTCTACCCCATTACCCAATTCCAAAACCAATTCCACATTTTTAGGTATTTGTTAGAGCAGCACCCCCACTTCTTGATACCAAATTTTGCCTAGTTATCTAGTGCTGCTATAACAGAAATACTACAAGTGGATGGCTTTAACAAACAGAAATTTATTTTCCCATAGTTTAGGAGGCTAGAAGTCTGAATTCAGAGTGCCAAATCTAGGGGAAGGCTTTCTCTCTCTGTTGGCTCTGAAGGAATTCCTCATCTCTTCAGCTTCTGCTTCCTAGTTCCTTCAAGATCTCCATGTGCCTTGGCATCTATCTTACCCCATCTCTCTTATTCACTTGCTTGTTTAATCTCTTTTATATCTCAAAAGAGATTGACTCAAGATACACCCCACACTAATCTTGCCTCATCAACACAACAAAGATGGCCCATTCCCAAATGTGATTATAATCACAGGCACAGAGGATTTACAACACATATTAGGACTTACAACACATATTTTTGGGGGGCATAATTCAATCCACAACAACTTTAAAAGAGTAAATTTTATGGTACATGAATAATATCTTAATTTAAAAAAAAAAAAAAGTCTACTGGTAGTCCTTATCTTCTACTCTGGGAAAAAGAATCACAGCCATATATACTGGGAAAAGAAATAATAAAGCGAGCATGAGTGAATAATGTGCTAGTCTTACCTGAGTGGTTTAGCCGTGGCGCAATTTCCTGCTGAAGCAAGCAACTTTGTTCTTCTACTGTTTTCTTAATAGAATTCTTAATCTTCTCAGCTCTCTGGGCACGCTAGAAAAAACAAAAGCAGTTCAAGGAATAACTTTAAGGAAAAGAAATAAATTTTCTATAAAGCTTTTATTATGAATAACTGTTTATATAAAGTTTGCACTAAAATACCTCAGTTTGAAAGAACAATAACATTCACTTACCTGAAGGCGGGCCAGTGTCTTGCTGTATTCCCTTTTCAAGAATGCTAGTTTTTGCTTCAACTGGAAGAAAGACACCAAACAATACTGAGCAGGGAAAAAGATGGAGTCAGAGGGAAGGGATACAGTGCCCATCAGATATGAGTTTGTAATGCTCAGGAGGGTCCCTCAGCAGGAGACAGTGGATGGAGTAACACTGGCCATAATGATCTACTTTCAATTCTCACAAAACACCAAACTCTCTAATATCTCAAGACCTTCCCAATAGACTGCTCCTATCACCTGGAGCATTTTCTCCTCCACTTATTTTTCTAATTCTTACTGATTCCTCAAATCTCAGTTTAGATTTTTCTCTCCCTGGGGTAGCCTTCTGGGTCCTTCTCCAAATCCAGGTTAGACAACCACCCCTTCCCTGTGCTTCCCCTATCACAGTACTTATCACACTCAGTTGTCTGTTTACTTCTCTGTTTCCCCACCTCACTGTGAGATCCCTGGAGATAGCAGAGGTGGTCATCCTCAGACATTTACTCAACAAATTAATCTCTTTATCAGTTCTTGTTCCAGGTATCTCTAAAACTTGGAACAACAACTGATACCCATTATGTGTCAGTTATTGTTCCAGGTGCTAGAGATACAGGGTGGTCAAGGCTCCTGCTCTCAGGTAGCTTACATATACTAAAGGACACAGAAAAGAAACAAGTAAACAATCAAGATGATTTCCTATGTTGTCAAATACCTAGATAAACAGGGTGATGTGAGTGACTGGGCTACAGAGAATGGACTGCTTCAGACAGGTGGCCAGGGAAGCATTTCTGAGGAAAATTTGAGCTTAGAGCTGAAGGAGGAAGGAGCTGGCTTTGGAAAGAACAAAAGAAAAGGCATTTTAGGCAGAGTGCACAAATGTGAAGGCCCCATGGTAGAATGAGCTAGGTATATTTGAGGAACATACAGAAGTCCAGTGAAGTTGAAGCTTTCACTGCTGAATTCTCAACCAGGCATACAGTAGGCATTCAACACATACTTATTGTGATGGTTAAGATTGTGTATCAACTTGGCTGGGCCATGATTCTCAGTGTTTTAATGTAATCACTCCCATGATTGAATATACTGTGAGTAGCCAAACAGATGAAAAGGAGTCTCCTTGGGGGTGTGGCCCGCATCTGTATATAAGCAGACGTTCTGGCTTTTTGCTCTCTCTGGATCCTGTGGCTGTTTCCTGTCGTCTCATCTCCTGTTCTTGGGACTTGAGCTGTCAGCTTATCTGCCAAACCTGGGACTCGTCAATCTGCACAGCCTGTGAGCGGGAGCCTTGCTCTCTGACCTGCCTATCTTGGGCTTGCCAGCTTCTCAGGCTGTGTGACTTGGGAGAGGCCTCTACCCTGATCCATGGACTTGGGACGTTCTAGCCTCTACAACTGCGTGAGTTGTTTCCTTGATATAATCTCTCTATATACATATAGTTATACACTTTACTGGTTTTGTTTCTCTAGAGAACCCAGCCTAAGACACTTATTAAATAAATATATAAGCAAGTTGGGCTGAGTCCAATTACTAGTCTGAAAGTTTAAGATTCCCTTTGTCTCTCTGATTCCTGAGGTTCAAAGCATTCTCTCAGCAGCAAAGCCACTCTCTCTCTCCTTTTTTTTTCTTTCTTTGTTTTCTAGGAACCAGAGTCCTTTTTGGAGGAACTAGTTCTTCAGCCAATAAAACATCACCAGAATTTTTATTCTCAGTGTCTACCTTACAAAAAAAAAAAAAAAGAAAAAAGACTTACCACCTGGAAAACATGTTTGCTACTAGGCAAGTTATCAATTGTGTGAATTTGAGCAAGTTACTGCATTTTTCTCAGTTTCCATGGCACCCTGTTAACTACAGTACTTACTAGTATCCAAAGGGGTCACTTCTGCCCCTAGTCATTCTCAATCACGCACTAATGATAATAGCTGACACTTTTGTAATATGCTTCAGTTGGTACCAAGAACTTTTCTGACTTCCATATACTGACTTATTTAATCCTCACAACCATCCTATGAACTAGGTTCTATTATTATCCTCATTTTACAGATAAGGAAACTAAAACATGGATAAATTAAGCAATTTGTCCACGTTCACACAGTTTATAAATGCCATGATTCTAACCCGGGCAGTCGAGCTGTAGAGTCTGCTCTTAACCTCTATTCTAGACTGCTTGTCACAGGGCCCTGTTTATCATGAACCTTATCAATATCTGGAGTTATCCTGTTTACTTGCAAATGATCTGTCTCACCCACAGTAGAAGGCAAGCTAGGATAAGAGGACTGATGAATTAATGCGAATGAAGAGTTTAGCACAATGCCTGGCACAGCAAGCACAAAATACCTTCGAGCTAATATGGACGTTGGGGGCTTAGGAAGTACAACAACTAAAACACACACACACGAAGAAACCTAGCCTGTGAGGGGAGCAGGAACCAAGATTGAAAGTGTGTGTGTGGCGGGCAGGGCATGTCAAAGGGGACTTTACAAAGTTTTACATTTTGTATTTATGCCTTGCTGTTGGAATGATGAACATTTGTTATTTAAACGCCACCACGTGAGTACAGCGCTCTTCTACAAACTTTCGTTCCCCGTCCCCCCTTAACCCTGAGAGGAGTACAGGTCAGAAGTCACTGCTACCCTAGTAGGACAGAGGGAACAGAGACGGGTCTAAAAGCCTCGGAAAAACCGGGGGGGGGGGGAGGGTCAGAGTCCTGTGTCAGCCCTTCCCGCACCCCCGGCACCTTTTCCTTCTCCTCACAGCTGAGGGGCTTTCCGGTAGGCTCTTCCATCGGGCCGGTGGCGGAAAGAAAAGAGCAGCGGTGGCCAGCCCCGAGCCGGCTGGCCCTTGGCCCCAGAGGCGTCTAGATAAGGAATGTTGGGCCGGAGATGCCCTCAGCGCGCGTCCAGCTTGCCCACACGGGCCTGGCGCGGCCTCAATCAAGCCAATTAAATCCATCGCTCAGCCTACGCATGCGCAGATGGCAACTGCCGAGCAATGGAGTGGGGCCACCTAGAGGATAGCCGAGCTGTGGATGAGACCGCCTAGAGCGGAAGTGGAGGAGTAGCCGGAAGTAGCCGGAAACGAAGTCGGACAGAGTTTGACAAGAGCCGGAGCTGTAAGGAGGAGGTGGTCAGCTATGGAGTTGGGCGAGCTGCTTTACAACAAGTCTGAGTACATTGAAACGGTGCGCGTGTCCAGACATCTGCCCTCCCCTTTGCTAGCCTGCGTCCCCACCCAGTCCCAGCCCCATCCCCATCCCCATCCCAGGTCTGTTTGGCAGCTAGTCTGGGATTACCTGGTGACGCTTCGTATATGGCCTGGCTTTGTTATTTTTGCCTTGCATGGCCAGTTTACCCTTTTGTATTTATTCCTTTTTTTTTCTTTAGAGATGAAGTGCCTTCTGGAAGGCAGGACCAAGTTCTTTCCATCGTAATATTTAATTACAACACCAGGCTTTCGGCCTTTGTATTTTTTAAAGTTAACGTTTCTTAATCTGTTACTGTATGCTAAGGACAATTAGGTTCTTTATCGTCAGTAAATGATATATGTGTAAAGTGCTTTAAAAAGAGTAAGTACTCAATCAGCGTTACTATTTTGTTGAATTCTCAAAAGGTCTATGATGGTGGTACAATCAGTGTCCTCATTTTAGGCTTATAAAACCGAAACATGGAATAGCAATTTGAATCCATTCCTTTCTCTGATGGCTACTAAGCTATAGATCTACAGTTTCCAAATTCTGAATCCATTCCTTTAATCCCTAGTTTCTTAATGCATCCTTGTTTTTTTGTTATCGGGGATTTATTCCATTGTAGACTGCCCCTCATTTCAAGTTCTTTTCTCTCCGACATGAGCTTTCTTGATGGAAACCAGCAGCCCATAACTGTTCTGCTCATCTTGCCTTTCTGCTGTACCTTTCAGGCATCTGGAAACAAAGTTAGTCGGCAGTCAGTGCTGTGTGGAAGCCAGAACATCGTCCTCAATGGCAAGGTAAGGGACAAAGCCAGGTTGAGGATGCACACCTTTGCTTTTTTTCCTGCTAAGTAACACTTTAGCAGGGCAGATAAAATGTTGCTGTGTCTCCTATTTATTGTACATTTTCCAGATCTCTTTCTTTTTAAAAAGGTGAATTATTGGTGATATTTGGTGCACACAAGAGTGTGTACGTGACATATATAAGTTATGAAGAACTGGAGTATAATCAACACAGGTAGTCCCCAACTTACCATGTGTTCGAGTTACGACAAACAGCACTTACAACCATCCTTTTTTTGAGGGCGGGGGGTACAGTCTATCATTAGGAATATGCACTACCTACCGTGTTACAGTGTGTGGTTCAGATGTTATCATTCTCAGAGGTTCACTTGCAGATGTTTATATTTACTGTTTCCAACCCCTAAAGACAAAAGTCAGATTTATAAAGATACTGATGAAAGGCAATAATAATGAAAACTTAAAAAAAAAAAAATGAAGTGTTTGACTTAGATCAGAACTGACTTAGATGGAGTCATCAGATGGGAACCCTGTTGTAAGTTGGGGACTACCTGTGCTTAATAACACAGTATTACCTTTCCGCTCCTCTCCTATCCCTGTCTTCTCCCTCACTATGAGAGGATACCACTTTCCAGAATTTTGTTTTATAATTACTTTCCAAAAATAGTTTTGCCAAATACATATGTATTCTAAATAATAGACATTGGTTAGCTTTACTTGTGTTTTTGTAACCTACTTTTTTTGCTCTGTTATTTTAATAATGGCAATAAGAAACACATTGTACTTACTATGTGCCATGATTCTCAACTCCATGCTTCTAAGATTCACTCATGTTGTTGCATGTGACTGTGATTTGTGCATTTTCACTGCTGTATACAATTCCATTTATCCACCCTCCTATTGATGGATAGCTAGGTTGTTTCCAGTTTTTTGCTGTTACATTTCCAGCCTCCTCCCTTTCAGAATTTTGACGTTTCTGTTTTCTTGCGTTCTTATATCAGGTGTCACAGTGCCTGTGGGGTTAGACAGGGATCAAATGAATAAAGAAGACAAGATGTGAACAATACAGAGTAGCGGGGCCTGGTGAATTAGAAAATGCATGACCCATCTAAGCTCAAGCTGATTGTTGCCATGTGGAAGCACAGACCTATATTTACAGAGCCTCTGACTTTTTCAAAAGAAACTGGAAATATCCCAATATTCAAATAATAACATTTAATTTAGATGATTAAAAAACATACAACAAAATTACTGGTTGAGTTTTTATTCATCCATTTTGTTACCTCTGCCCTGTCCATGGTTGAGTTCAATCAACGTTTCTATTGTTGAATTCAGTGAAGTATTAGAACAGTCTGTGCTTTGGTATAATTTTCTTCCCTGCATAGTCCTTATAGGCACTTTCTTCTTTTCTTTTTTTTTTTTTTTAACTTCTAGTTCTTCCATATATACATATGTTTTTAATTGTGGTAAAATATATATATAACAAAACACTTGCCATTTTAACCATTCTTAAGTGTACAATTCAGTGGCATTAATTTATTCACAGTGTCGTACAGCCATTACCACTGTTTGTTTCTAAAACTTTTTCATCAACCCAACAGAGATACTATATCCATTATTTCTCCATTCCCCTCTCCCCCAGTCCACGGTCACCCTTATCTATATTTGTCGATATTCCTATTGTAGAAATTTTATATATGGGATCATACAGTACTTGTCCTCTTGTGTCTGGCTTATTTCACTTAGCATAATGTTTTTAGAGGATCATCCATGTCATAACACGTTCTAGAACTTTATTCCTTTATAGGGCTCGTTGGCTATTGGTTAGTACTGCAATGAACATTAATGTACAGGTATCTGTTTGAGTCCCTGCTGTCTGTTTCTTTGGGTATATACCCAGGAGTGGAATTGCTGGGTCATGTGGTAATTCTATATTTATTTTCTTGAGGAACTGCCAAACTATTTTCCACAGCAGCTTCACCATTTTACATTCCTCCTAGCAGTGGATGAGGGTTCCAATTTCTCCACATCCTTGTCAGCACTTATTATTTTCTTTTTTTAATAATAGCCATACTGTTGTTGTTGTTAGGTGCTGTCAAGTTGGTTCCGACTCATAGCAACCCTGTGTACAACAGAATGAAATACTGCCCGGTCCTGTGATATCCTCACAATCATTGTTATGCTTGAGCCCATTGTTGTAGCCACTGTGTCAGTCCATCTTGTTGAGGGTCTTCCTCTTTTTTGCTGACCCTCTACTTCAGCAAGCATGATGTCCTTCTCCAGGGACTGGTCCCACCTGATAACACGTACAAAGTATGTGAGATGTAGCCTCACCATCTTTGCTTCTAAGGAGCATTCTGGTTGTACTTCTTCTAAGACAGATTTGTTCGTTCTCTGGCAGTCCATGGTATATTCAATATTCTTCTCCAATACTACAATTCAAAGACTTCAGTTTTTCTTCAGTCTTCCTTATTCATTGTCCAGCTTTTGCATACATATGAGGTAATTGAAAACATCATGGCTTGGGTGAGGCGTATCTTAGTCTTCAAGATGATATCTTTGCTTTTCAACACTTTAAAGAGGTCTTTTGAAGCAGATTTGCCCAATGCAATGCATCTTTTGATTTCTTGACTGCTCCTTCCATGGGTGTTGATTGTGGATCCAAGTAAAATGAAATCCTCGACAACTTCAGTCTTTTCTCCACTTATCATGATGTTGCGTATTGGCCCAGTTGTGACGATTTTTGTTTTCTTAATATTGAGGTGTAATCCATACTGAAGGCAGTGGTCTTTGATCTTCATCAGTAAGTGCTTCAAGTCCTCTTCACTTTCAGCGAGCAAGATTGTGTCATCTGCATATTGGAGGTTGTTAATGAGTCTTTCTCTAATCTTGATGCCCTCTTCTTCATATAGTCCAGCTTCTTGGATTATTTGCTCAGCATACAGATTGAATAGGTATGGTGAAAGGATGCAACCTGACACACACCTTTCATGACTTTAAACCATGCAGTATCCCCTTGTTCTGTTGGAACGACTGCCTCTTGATTTATGTACAGGTTCCTCATGAGCACAATTAAGTATTCTGGAATTCCCATTCATCACAGTTTATTCATAATTTGTTATGATCCACACAGTCGAATGCCTTTGCATAGTCAATAAAACACAGGTAAACATTTTTCTGGTATTCTCTGCTTTCAGCCAGGATCCACCTGACATCAGCAGTGATATCTTTTGTTCCACGTCCTCTTCTGAATTTGGCCTGAATTTCTGGCAGTTCCCTGTCGATGTACTGCTGCAGCCGCTTTTGAATGATCTGCAGCAAAATTTTACTTGTGTGTGATATTAATGATATTGTTAGATAATTTCCACATTTTGTTGGATCACCTTTCTTGGGAATAGGCATAAATATGGATCTGTTCCAGTCGGTTGGTCAGATAGCTGTCTTCCAAGTTTCTTGGCATAGATGAGTGAGCGTTTCCAGTGCTGCATCCGTTTGTTGATACATATCAGTTGATATTCAGTCAATTCCTGGAGGCTTGTTTTTCTCCAATGCCTTCAGTGCAGCTTGGACGTCTTCCTTCAGTACCATTGGTTCCTGATCATATGCTACCTCTTGAAATGGTTGCACATCGACCAGTTCTTTTTGGTATAATGACTCTGTATTCCTTCCATCTTCTTTTGATACTTCCTGTGTTGTTTAATATTTTTCCCATAGAATCTTTCACTATTACAACTCGAGGCTTGAATTTTTGCTTCGGTTCTTTCAGCTTGAGAAATGCCGAGTGTGTTCTTCCTTTTTGGTTTTCTATTTCCAGCTCTTTGCACGTGTCATTATAATACTTTACTTTGCCTTCTCCAGCTGCCCTTTGAAATCTTCTGTTCAATTCTTTTACGTCATCATGTCTTCTTCTTTTTGCTCTAGTTACTCGATGTTGAGGAAGTTTCAGAGTCTCTTCTGACATCCATTTTGATCTTTTCTTTCTTTCCTGTCTTTTTAATGACATCTTGCTTTCTTCATGTATGATGTCCTTGATGTCATTCCACAACTCGTCTGGTCTTCAGTCATTAGTGTTCAACGCGTCAAATCTATTCTTGAGATGGTCTCTAAATTCAGGTGGGATATACCTAAGGTCGTACTTCGGCTCCTCGTGGACGTGTTCTAATTTTCTTCAGTTTCAACTTGAACTTGCATATGAGCAATTGATGGTCTGTTCCGAAGTCGGCCCCTGGCCTTGTTCTGACTGATATTAAGCTTTTCCATTGTCTCTTTCCACAGATGTAGTCGATTTGATTCCTGTGTATTCAAGCTGGCAAAGTCGATGTGTATAGTCACCGTTTATGTTGGTGAAAAAATGTATTTGCAACGAAGAAGTCTTTGGTCTTGCAAAATTCAGTCATGTGATCTGCAGCATCGTTTCTATCACCAAGGCCATATTTTCCAACTACCGATCCTTGTTTGTTTCCAACGTTGGCATTCTAGTCGCCAGTAATTATCAATGCATCCTGATTGCATGTTCAATCAATTTCAGACTGCAGAAGCTAGTAAAAATCTTCAATTTCTTCATCTTGGGCTTCGTGGTTGGTGCGTAAATTTGAATAATAATTATATTAACTGGTCTTCCTTGTAGGCGTATGGATATTATCTTATCACTGACAAGCATTGTACTTCAGGATAGATCTTGAAATGTTCTTTTTGCTGATGAATGCAATGTCATTCCTCTTCAAGTTGTCATTCCTGGCATAGTAGACCATATGATTGTCTGATTCAAAATGGCGAATACCAGTCCATTTCAGCTCAGTAATGCCTAGGATATCGATGTTTACGCATTCCATTTCATTTTTGACAATTTCCAATCTTCCTAGATTTATACTTTGTACATTCCATGTTCCAGTTATTAATGGATGTTTGCAGCTGTTTCTTCTCATTTTGAGTCGTGACCCCATGTGTCTGTCAGTTTGTCATACTATGGGGGCTTACAAGTTACTGTGATGCTGGAAGCTATGCCACCGGTATTCAGATACCAGCACGGTCACCCATGGCGTACAGGTTTCAGCAGAGCTTCCAGACTGAGACAGACTAGGAAGAAGGAACTGGCAGTCTACTTCTGAAAAGAAGTAGTGAGTGAAAACCTTATGAATAGCCGTGGAACACTGTCTGAGACGGTGCTAGAAGATGAGCTGCCCAGGTGGGAAGACACTCAAAAGACGACTGGGGAGGAGCTGCCTCCTCAAAGTAGAGTTGATCTTAATGACGTGGATGGAGTCAAGCTTTCGGGACCTTCACTTGCTGAGGTGGCACGACTCAAAAACTCTAATATACCCTGGTATACTGTGCTAAAGAGGGCCTATGCTGTTGAAATGGGCCCACACAGGTCTACGCAGGGGTGAAAGGCATTCAAAGTCCCTGGACCCTTTATGCCTGTGCCTAGGCAAAGGGACTGTGCCTACCCTGAGTTCCTGGTTTAGGGGAGCTGGCAGATTATTTTTTCTTGTTTGTTGATTTGTTGCCTCTCCAAAGCTGGGAGAATGGCTCGCAGTGCGCTGTGGGTGCTACTTCTAGCCCAGGGAGTGCAGCAGTCTCTGAAGCTGGGCCAGGACCTAGAGCAGAGCGAGGAGGGGTCAGGTAATTGGGAGAGAGGTATTTCCCAAAGGAGGGTTTTTTTGATCCACATAGTGGGTTAGATGCTTGTACTTATCTTTTGCCGATTGAGTGCCATTTCTCACTGGTTCTGGAAGTTTGAGCTAACCTTCTGCCGCTTGGTTTCTCCCGATGTGGAAGGTGTATCCCGAGCGCTACTGCTTGCCTCACCGCGTGCGCTAGCTGATCCAGCCTGCAAGGTGTCAGTTCCTGCCGGGTGAGGTCTGGCAACTCCTCGCTGCTTCTGAACCGTCTCCCTTCCCCTGCTGCTCAGTCCAATTCCTCAACTTTGTCTTTGATGTTCAGGACTCCTAGATTGTCACATATAATCGATTCGCTTGTTTTTTGGGATCTTTATTATAAGAGGCACCACAAGAAGCATCTGACTGCTCTGCCATCTTGGCCCTGCTTTTTGAGACATACGTTTTATCTTACAAGAGATAAAAGGAGAGAGAAACAAGCAGAGAGGAGAGGACTTCACCACCACTAAGAAGGAAGAGCTGGAAGTGGAGCATGTCCCTGTGCTGAGAACCTCCTAGACTCGGAGGAATATTGATGCCCAGACACGTGGAGATCTCCAAGGAACACCGGGCCCACAGATGTTGAAAGGAAACAAGGACCTTTCCCCATAGCTGAGAGAGAGAGAAAGCCTTCCCCTACAGCTGGCACCCTGAATTCGGACTTACAGCCTCCTCAACTGAGAGGGAATAAATTTCTGTTTGTTAGAGCCATCCACTTGTGATATTTCTATTATAGTAGCACTAGATAACTAAGACAACAGGTAAGACAAAGGTGGGAACAGTCAGGACTCTCATTGAACAAGCAGCTAAGACTTGGGAGGCAAGTGGTGCTGAGTGAATCTAAGGAGGTGCATAAACTAGGTCTGCTTTAGGTGCTCTCAGTAAAGGTTTGTTCAGTGAGTCCTATTTGGAATATTAAGGGCAAAGCTTTTTTTTTTTTTTTATGGTGCTTTAGGTGAAAGTTTGTAGAGCAAATTAGTTTCTCATTAAATAATCAATACACATATTGCTTTGTGACATTGGTTGCCAACCCCACAACATGTGAACAGTCTCCCCTTCTCAACCTTGGGTTCCTCATTTCCATTCATCCAGCTTTCTTGTCCCCTCCTGCCTTCTCATCCTTGTGCCTGGACTGGTTTGCCTGGTTAATCTCATGTACATGGTTGTACTATGTGTGTTATTGTTTGTCTTATGGGCCTGTCTTTAGCTGAAGGGCGAACCTCAGGAGTGACTTCAGTACCGAGTTAAAGGGGTGTCCGAGGGCCATACTCCAGGGATTTCTCCAGTCTCTGTCAGATCAGTAAGTCTGATCTTTTTTTGTGAGTTTAAATTTTGTTCTATATTTTTCTGCAGCTCCGTCTAGGACCCTCTATTGTGATCCCTGTCAAAGTAGTTGTTGGTGGTAGCCAGGCACCGTCTAGTTGTGCTGGACTCAGTCTCGTGGAATCTAAGGGCGAAGCTTCTGAGGGACGGGGAACATCTCTAACATTCTACAGTCAGTGTCATGAGGACAATTCTTTTTCCCTTGCAAATTTTCTCTTTTGACAGAACGGGTGACTTAGTGGATCATAACATAACTTCCAATTAGTGTGTTGTTGCCTATTGTTTTTTGTTGTTATGTTTTAGGCTATGTTAGTAATTGTTTTAAAATGTGCTTGTTTTACAGACCATTGTGATGAATGACTGTATTATCCGAGGAGATCTGGCAAATGTCAGAGTTGGACGCCATTGTGTTGTGAAAAGTCGTAGTGTCATAAGGCCACCATTCAAGAAATTCAGCAAAGGGTGTGTAGTTTAATTACCTTGTTTCAGTCTTGGGGAAGATGCTGCTACTGAAGGTGTTATCCATGTGTTTAGTTGTAATGTAATGAGCAGGCCCTAGCCTGTTGTTTGGGGCACTGGGTAAGAATTCACCATAATGAGCACAACTCTGGTGGTGGTTGTCTTAGTCTGGGATGGTTGGTTATTGGAAACAGAATCCACTTAAGCTAGCAAAAGCAAAGGGGGCTCTAAAAAAACAACAATTAGACCTACTAGACTGATTGAGACTGAAGGACTCCCCAAAGCTATTGTCCTGAGATACCCTTCAAACCTTAAGCCAAAACTAACCCCTGAGACCACCTTGTAGTGAAATAGCAAATTGGCTCACAGAATAATGAATATCAGCCATAAGTACTGTGCTCCTTTAAAAAATCACCTGTATGAGACCAAACAGTCAACAATTACTTTAAGACAGAAATAAGATTGTAACGGGGCAGGGAAACAAGATTAATGGAAATAGAGCAGCCAGAACAGAAATAATGAGAATGTTCATACATTGTGAAGAATGTAACCAATGTCACTGAACAACTTGTGTAGAAATTGGTGAATGGGCACCTAAACTGCTATGTAAACCTTCACCGAAAACAGAGTAAAATATTATTTAAAAAAACAAAAACAAAAAGGGCTCTGATTAAACAGACATAGGCATACTTGATGGAACCTAAGGGTAGAGAAAGGAGCCAGGCCTCACCAGGGACTAGAACCTGGAACTAGACCATTAGCCAGAATCAAGTCAACTGTTCTTTCTATCTACCTTTCTCTGTCTCTGAGATTATACTGTTTCTTATCTGTCCTTCTCTCTGTATGTCTGCTTCCCTTTACTCTCTCTCAGGCTGGCTCTGTCTGGCCCTTTTGTTCATGGCACCAACCTTGGTGTCTCAGCCCCATATTTACGTCAGTTCTTCATTTTGACTTTTAACAGACACCAACTAGAGTTCTTATGTCTCAGTTCCAGATTCTTGGGAGAGGGGATCTGACTGGCTCAGCTTGAGTTAAGTACCCACCCCTAGTCTAAACAGCTGTGACCCAAAGGGCAGGGTTAAGTCAGGCCCAGTGACCCCTCAGTGGGAATAAGGACTGTTCAAGAAAGGACATGGAAAGGTGAACTGACCAAGATGCTGCTATGGGGGTATTCTCTTTGCCCTCTCCCTCTAGGCTAACTTGCCCTCCTGGTTCCTACTTATGGCACAGTCTACATTTCGTTCAGTAATTCAACAAATATTTATTCAGTACTTTCCTCATGCCAACCACTGGGCCATAAACTGGGCTTATAAAGATGGATAAAACAGTTTAGAGTTCCTGCCCTCAAGGTTCCTGAAACTTAGTGGTAGAAACAGCATAGTTATTTAATGTAATTGGTGCTGTCACAGGGTATGAACCCAGTTAGACATGGAAGCATAGAGAAGGGAGCAGCTAATTCAGGCTAACTATAATACTTATTATCTGTGAGTTTTGAGGAAACTTAGAAGCATACTATGCAAAAATAATCCCACATTTCCCATAATGATATTGGACTCCAGGCTTTCTGTTACATCCAGGAATTGGATCAGGGAGACATTGTAAATCATTCCTGTGAAAATGTTTGCTCATTAGCTCCAAAGGCTATTGGGGACAAACCAGAAACATTGTGGTACCTTTTGCGGTTTCATACGGTGACTGATACTCTGTTAAAGTTCTTAAGATGACCTTGTGACAAAGGCACTGTTGGGCTGGATATGGTCCAGAAAAAGCACCAGGAATGAACAAGAGGTTTATTGGTAGGTGGAGAGATACTTAGGTAGGAATAGTGCACATGAGAAACATATAGACATGCGTGTAAACAGTAACACATGAATAGAAGGTGACTGTGGATTTTCCCCTCTGCATATCCCAATACCAAAACCAGAAATACTATAAAGTTTGTAAATTTTAATTTAAAATTAAAAAATTAGCAGTACTGCTGTAGACACTGGTGAGATTAAGCAATTCATTGCTGCACAAGGGGTACAGACTAGAAATACTAATGGATTAAGAAAGATTTAAATAAATTATAGGTCCGTATCTATAAAATGGATAGAATATCCATCTCTGACAAAATATTCCTGACAGAACGGAACACAGGACTGAAAAGGGCTAGTAAGCATATTAAAAAAACAAACCTGTTGGTATTGTATCGATTCTGACTCATAGTGAGCCTATAGACAGAGAAGAACTGTCCCATAGGGCTTCCAAGGAGGGGCTGGTAGATTCAAACTGCTGCCCTTTTGGTTAGCAGCTGAGCTCTTAACCATGTGCCACCAGGGCTCTAGTAAGCAATATAACTAACTTTATATTAGTTCTAGTCCAAATGTTTTACATCCCAAGGTCCTGAAATTACTTGTGAATGTTATCACAGAACCACTGTCAGTGACATTTGAGGAATCCCAGAGAATGGAAACAATGTCAAAAATCTGGAGAAAGCCTTCTAACTCTTACTCATCCTTAAAGTCTTGGCTTCAGTGTCACTTTCAATTAAGCTTTCCCCAAACCCCCGGTCTGGGCAAATCCTCCTTGTTATATCCTCTCAAAACCTGATATTTCTTGTCTATACCATTTTTCCCAATTATAACTAATTACTTATATAATCATTTATTTAATCTCTCTTTTCTTCACTAAATTGGGAGCTCCTCAAGGGCAGGAATTTTGTCTCTTTTGCTCACCATTGTATCCCTAATTCTTAGGTAAAGTCTGGCATGTAGTACACACTTAATAGAATTGGTGAATATATAAATTTTCAGAATGTTGGCTGCTAGAAATTGTAGCCCATGAGCCTGATGTCAGTCCTCTGAAACATAGAGCAGATTTCTAAAAAATGTGATCTGTGAATATTTTCAAGGGCAGCAGAAATGAACAAACATTCATTAGTTTTCATTTAGGGTCTTCTGTCTTAGCTTTGGAAACCCTGGTGGTGTAGTGGTTAAGAGCTACGGCTGCTAAACAAAAGGTCGGAAGTTCAAATCCACCAGGCACTCCTTGGAAACTATGGGGCAGTTCTACTCTGTCCTACAGAGTCGCTATGAGTCGGAATCGACTCAACAGCAACAGTTTTGGGTTTATTTGGTATCTTAGCTTTGAAGGTCTTACCTCTTCTGTCTTGCTGTTTCCTTGTACATGTTTTTGGTCTAATATCAATGATACTGAGCTAGTAGTCTCATCATCTTCTCCAACATTAGAATTTCTCTAGTCTGAGGATTTTTTTCCTTGCTAAGAACAGTCTTACTAAGACAAGATGATGAAGTTGAGATTATGAAGTGTACTTCTGTGAATCTTGACCAAAAGTATGTTACCTTGACCTCTGTTTGTTTGTCTCTTTCCCTTCTCTAGAGTTGCCTTCTTTCCTTTACATATCGGGGACCATGTCTTTATTGAGGAAGACTGTGTGGTCAACGCAGCTCAGATTGGTTCTTATGTTCATGTTGGGAAGAACTGTGTGATTGTGAGTATGGTGACTCTCAGCTGGCTAAACAGCCTCACTTTCCTGTAGTTTCTTCCCGCACATCAGTGGGATTCTGCTTCTCTGACCAGGCAGGATAGGAGTAGATTCCAGTCATCTGGAGGCTGGGTCTCTTTTGCTGGATTTGGAGCTTTCTCAGCATTAATAATAATGGCTAACCTTTGTTCAACCTCTTCTATGTGATAAACTCTTTTCTTGAATTATTTAATCCTCACAACCATCCAAGGGTGGTAGATACTGTTATTATCCTAATTTGCACATGAGGAGACTGAGGCCCTGAGATATTTAGGTATTTGTTAAAGCTAGTAAGTGGTGGAGCTGGGATTTGAACCCAGGGCAGTATGATTAACCATGCCACTATATGACCTACCTGCTGCTGTACCTCAGGGATCTTCCATTCTAGTAAGTCTAGAGGGGATTTTGAAGGGTGGGTAGAAATTGTCCCAGTGCCAAGGGGAGGATGAGCGTTTCAGGAAAGAGACTGATATATATAAGGTTCCGAGTCACTGAAGAGCACGACGTAGGGAAACTGCAAGTGATTGGCCTGTAGGGTAAATGGGGGCTCAGTGCCCAGTGCAATCTATGGGACCCTGGTCCACAGGAGCTAGACATCAGTTTAACCCAACCAAGACTTCGCAAGGTTGAATTTCTTGCTGTTTCATAGATAAAGAGCTTCTTTCAGTTTGGCGTTTATGAGAACATCCTAGGTGAGAATGTTAATGATCAGAGCCAAACTGCCTTAATGTTCAGGGAAAACATTTCCTACGTTTTAAATTTGTACCTCAGACTAGATTCCAGGAAAAGCCAAACCCTTTTCATGTTTTTTAATGGCCCCTCCCATTATTACAAAGTCATCTGTCAACCCTGGGTAAGAAGACTCAAACCTAAAAATGTATTTAAAAAAAAAACTTGTAGAAATCATGCATTTCACATTCCAAGAGCAATGAGGGCACAGTAAAGATGGATGGTGCAGTGGAAAACCACGTTGCTGCAAAAAACATGCCAATCTGACTTGCTACTGAGAATTAAAGGAACTATTCGTTTTGCCAAATATTCCCACTCCAGAAGAATTCCTTTCTTAGTGCACACTAGAGACAGAAAGTCTTTGGTTCAGCCTGATGTTGATGAAAGAGGGAAGATAGGAAAATCCATCTCCTCTCCTTGCTCTGTTTGACAAAAACCGGCCTTCTAAGCCAGCTTCTTCTGATATTTTCTGGTTTGTGTTGTTCCTGATATTTTCCTTGGTAAAGTGAAGACATCACCATAACGGCTTTGTCCTTAACCTCCAGAACAAATGTCTGAAAGGTTGAAAATCCCAATTCTATCCCCATTGCCTAGGGAATTCTAGTCCTATTGTCAGGTGCTCTGCTTTTTGTACCACTTTTCAGTGTATCGGTTCATGATATAGCTATTGTTTGGTATTGGCAAAACCTATTTGCTGAGCCTTTGCAAATTCTCTGGTGATCTCAGCAGAAAGATTCTTTTAGAATTCTAGAATCTCAGATTTAGCAGGAACTCTTAGAGTCCAACTGTTCCCATGACACAAAATCCTTCCTATAGCATCCCATGAGGTAGTCTAACTTCTTCTTGGATAGTGAAGTTGTAGGTGTTGATCAGAATTGCCCAAATGCCTAAAGGAAAATGTAACAAGAAATAATAATTGTTATTATGTGCTGTCAACTCAATTCTGACTCATAGCGACCCTGTAGGACAGAGTAGAAATGCCCTACAGGGTTTCCTAGGCTGGAATCTTTACGGGAGCAGATCACTAGGTCTTTTCTCCTGCAGAGTGGCTGGTGGGTTTGAACCACCGACCTTTGTTTAGCAACCAGATGCTTAACAGTTGTGTCACGAGGGCTTTTGCAATAATAATAGGCACCATTATCTGTGATAAGAGTTTTAGATTTATTATCTTTAATCCTGACAACATTCCTACGGATATGATTTTACATCCTGTTTCACTGATGAGGAAACCTAGACTCAGAGATGCTAAATGACTTGCACAAGGATATATTGTTGTTGCTGGGTGCAGTCCAGTCGATTCTGACTCCATGCGACAGAGTAGAACTGCCCTGTAGGGTTTTCTTGGCTGTAATCTTTACGGAAGCAGATCACCAGGTCTTTCTCCCACAGAGCCACTGGGTGGGTTCAGAGCAGCTGAGTGCTTAACCGTTGCACTACCAGGGCTTCTTCAAGAATATATATGTAGTTGTAATACAAGCAACAGTTCTTTACTCCTCCTTGGAAAGTTCTCCAGGGAGAAATGAAAATGTGAATGAGCTTTTTACCTCCTTAGCTGTTGCCAATCCGTTCATACCTAAGAAGCACCTGCAATTTTGTTTTTTTTTTTTTTTGCTGCTATTTAATTTATCAGTCTACCCAGAATGCTTCTGAAACCCAATTAAGCGTCATTTCTCTGAGTGGCAGAAGGGCCAACTAGTGGCTAAAGCGGGTGCCTCCAGACTGTGTGGTGGCTGGTGATATACAGTGAAAAGATCATTTCCACTGTTCTTTTCTGGGACCCTTTGTCTAAGGATCCCTGTTTGTGTTTCATGCTTTAAGCAACACGTTCTGTTTCCTTTTGCTTAGTGCCCCATGTGCTTAGTTTAAATTGTCAGGAGCTCAGACATGACAGGAAATCTTTGAGTTAATATTAATTGGAGGGGAGGGGTCACTGGAGAGATGACTAACTACCATATTTTTGAAATTGCCAATATCAGGTAATCTGTGGAAGGATTACCAAGGAGAGATGAAGAGCTGTAACCTTAACTTTCTTCTGAGCGAAGGATGTTGTCAAGTAGAGCCAAGGTTATTATCCATACACTGGAGACAACTTAGCCACTTAGGAAATTCAGACCTTTGAGGTATAAGCTTTTTTAAAAAATTTGACAGTCTGTCTTTCCTGGAAATACATATTATTTGAGTATTTATTAATGGGGAAAATTTAAACATATCCAAACCAAAGTGTCATTCCTGTTTTTTGGTAAAATCTTGAGAGCTGGACAGGTTAGCATTGTCCTGGCATTTGTTAAGATTTCCATATTTTTGGCCAGGCGTATTTTATCAGATTGTCTAACCAGAACACAAATGAGGTTATAGGTCCTGGTGATGTAAACTCAGCCAACAAAGACTGAAACTTTCATTTTCTCAGCAAGTAGTCTGAGGCACAGCTTTAAAGCATATACAGAAGCCTTTCCCTTAACCCAAGAAACAAATGAGTCTCCCAGACCTCATTTCATTGAAAAGTGAGGACGGTGGATAAAGTCAAGCATAAGGTTTAGCCCAAACCTTCATATGATAAATGTTCACCTGTAGAAGAACAAATGAATGAATAACTTCATGTCCAATTGAATTTGTCAAGCCTGTTCAAGGTAGAATTGACAAAAGAGCAAAGAAACCTTAAACTGTTAGGTGCAAAAGGGGATGTATTGGCTAATATAAACCATGAGTATAGAAGGAGAGCCTAATTTCATGTACAGATGGCTCCAGGGGTTCCAGTGAGGTCATGAGAATTAGTCTCCACCCCTTTTCTGCTTTTCTCTGGGAAGCTCACTCTCAGGCAGTTTCTTTCTTCATGGAAACAAGATGGCTGTTTGAGGATTCCGTTGTATCCTCTAGAAACCCCAGTGGAAAGAGCTGCTTTTTTTCCAGTAGTCCCAGAAGTAGCCTGAGGTTCAAATTCACATGACTGATTTGGCTCATATGTTGATACCCTAAACCAATTGGCTGTGTCCAGGCCTGTGAGTTGGGGTGCAGGATGGGGGGTGGTGAAGCATATGAACTGAGGTGGGAATAGGAGTGGTTCCTCAAGGAAAATATAGGCTCTATTACCAGAAAAAAGAGCAAGGGTATTGGGAATGCAAAACAACAAATGTCCACTAAAACAAGTAAAAAAGAAAATTAAACACAACTCTTGGAAGACCAAAATTCACATAGTCTGTAATGCTTAGGATAACCGCAACTGTCCCTAGCATACAACCCCCCCTCCCAAATGTACATACACACAGACACAGACACAAACACACACACAGACACACACACTCCCCCCCCCACACACACACCCCCTCTGCCTCCTCCTCCTGGTCAGTGAATTGTGGCCAAGCTTCTTGTCAGTTTCTCTGGCTATCACATGATACCATGAATGGAGAAAATATAAAACAGGCTTCCACACAGCAGACTAGACAACCTTTACTCCCGTTTCCTGATCTATTTCCTATTAACAACATTTTTAAAAATTTATTTTGTTGTTGTTGACAATATACGCAGCAAAATATACACACATACACCAATTCATCAGTTTCTACACGCACAATTCAGTGACATTGGTTACATTCCTATTAACAACGTTCTGATTTCAGGGGCGCCGGTGTGTATTGAAAGACTGTTGCAAAATTCTCGACAACACAGTATTACCGCCAGAAACTGTGGTGCCACCATTCACTGTCTTCTCAGGCTGCCCAGGTAACTTTGGATGTTGAGTATTTTTATTTTAACCTCTTTAAAACTCAAGGTTATTTTCCATCACAAAAGTAATACATGATTCTGTCTCTAATAATATGTTGGTCTAGCTAACTTAAATATTCTCTTGCTAAAAAGTACCTAGAAATGCTATCTAAAATATAACAAACATGTGTTAAAAAGCATAATTGGAGTCACAAGAAAGTTACTAAGAGTCAAAAAAAAAAAGAGAGGGAACAAGCTGTAAGCATGCCTGGGTGATGCCATCTTTATGATAGGGTGGTTTAGGTTTGATACTCATGTGGGGGTGGGAGGTAAAGCCTTGGACCCACACATGGCAGGCAGTTGAAATGAGATCCTCAAATACAGCTAGTAGCCTTTGAAGACCCCAATAAAAGGTTAACGTAGAACAAATCTGCCCACCAGCACAGGGAAAGTGCAAAGAAGCTTATCTCCCTTGGCCTGGGCTCTGGGTGGAAAAATAAAAAATCTGTCTAGAGAATTCTAGCTATGGACTTTCTCTCACATTGGACAAGGAATCCCCAAATTGAAAAGCAAACATAAAAGATGGTTTGAGACTAATAATTCACCTGGGACACCTGACAGAAGCAAATACATTGCATCTCGACCCTGGCTGACAGAATGTCCATAGATAAAGCTTCTCAACTCCATGCCCCTACTTCCCACCTCAGAGCTCCAAATTACAAAACTTCTGAGGAAACAAAAGTAATACATGCTCATCCCAGAAAACTTGGGAAACCCTAAAAAGCAGAAGGAAGAAGAAAATCCCACATTCTACACGCCCAGCCCAGGACATCCACTGCTACTGTCTGGCTCATTTTTCTTAACAGTCTCTTTTCTTCTACGTATTGTTTTACACAGTTGAAATCATGTAGCATGTACAGAGTCACATTCACAAACTCACAGATGGAGGATGATATGAAGAGAGAGATTTGATAGATTTGATATGACAGCTACCATTGGGTGGTTTAATTGTTTTTTCAATTAAAAAATCTAATCACTCAGATCATTGAATTTGAGTTGCAAAGATGTACAAACTCATTACTCACATTTTTTTGTAATTGCGTTTTAAGTGAAAGTTTACAGTTCAGGTTATTTTCTCATACAAAAATTTATGCACACATTTTTATGTGATCCTCATTGCTGTCCCTATAATGTGACAGCACACTCCTCCTTTCTTCCCCAGGTTTCCTGTGTCCATTCAACCAGCTCCTGTCCCTTTTTGCCTTCTCATCTCACCTCCGGACAGGAGCTGTCCATTGAGTCTTGTATATCTACTTGAGCTAAGAAGCATACTCTTCACGAGTATCATTTTATGTCTTATAGTCCATTCTGGTCTTTGTCTGAAGAGTTGGCTTTGGGAATGTTTTCAGTTCTGAGCTAACAGAGAGTCCGGGGGCTATGTCTTCCCGGGTCCCTCCAGTCTCAGTCAGACCATTAAGTCTGGTCTTTTTACTAGAATTTGAGTTCTGCACCCCACTTTACTCCTGCTCCATCAGGGACTGTCTGTTGTGTTCCCTGTCAGGGCGGTCATTGGAGGTAGCCAGGCACCATCTAGTTCTTCTGGTCTCAGGCTGATGCAGTCTCTGGTTTATGTGGCCCTTTCTGTCTCTTGGGCTAATATTTTCCTTGTGTCTTTGGTGTTCTTCATTCTCCTTTGCTCCAGGTAGGTTGGGACCAGTTGAAGTGTCTTAGATGGCCGCTCACTAGCTTTTAAGACCCCAGACGCCACTCACCAAAGTGGGATGCAGAACATTTTCTTAATAAAGTTTGTTATGCCAGTCGACCTAGATGTCCCCTGAAACCATGGTCCCCAGACCTCTGCCCCTGCTGCTCTGTCCCTCAGAGTGTTTGGTTGTATTCAGAAAACTTTTCAGCTTTTGGTTTAGTCCAGTTGTGCTAACTTCCCCTGTATTGTGTGTTGTCCTTCCCTTCACCTACGATAATTCTTATCTGCTATCTAGTTGGTTAATACCCCTCTCCCTCCCTCCCCACCCTGGTAACCATCAAAGAATGTTTTCTTCTGTGTTTAAACCTCTTCTTGAGTTCTTATAATAGTGGTCTCATACAATATTTGTTCTTTTGGGACTGACTAATTTCACTTAGCATAATGCCTTCCAGATTCATCCATGTTGTAAGATGTTTTGTGGATTCATAGTTGTTCTTTATCGTTGCGTAGTATTCCATTGTGTGAATATACCATAGTTTTTTTATCCATTTGTCTGTTGATGGGCAGCTAGGTTGTTTCCATCTTTATACTATTGTGAACAGTGCTGCAATGAACATATATCTATTCATGTGATGGCTCTTATTTCTCTAGGATATATTCCAAGGAGTGGGATTGCTGGATTGTATGATACTTCTATTTGTAGCTTTTTAAGGAAGCGCCAAATCAGTTTCCAAAGTGGTTGTACCATTTTACGTTCCCACCAGCAGTGTCTAAGTGTTCCAATCTCCCCACAGCCTTGCCAACATTTATTATTTTGTGTTTTTTGGATTAATGCTAGTCTTGTTGAGGTGAGATGGTATCTCATTGTAGTTTTGATATGTGTTTCTGTAATGGCTAATGTTTACGAGCATTTTCTCATGTATCTGTTAGCTGGCAGCTGCCTGAATGTCTTCTTTGGTGAAGTGCCTGTTTGTATCCTTTGCCCATTTTTTAATTGGGTTATTTGTCTTTTTGTTGTTGAGGTTTTGCAGTATCTTGTAGATTTTAGAGATTAGACCCTGATCGGATTTGTTGTCGCCAAAAATTTTTTCCCAGTCAGTAGGTTGTCTTTTTACTCTTTTAGTGAGTCTTTTGATGAGCACAAGTGTTTGGTTTTTAGGAGCTCCCGGTTATCTAGTTTCCCTCCTGGTGTTTGTGCATTGTCAGTTATGTTTTGCATTCTGTTTATGCCATGTATGAGGGCTCCTAGCACTATCCCTATTTTTTCTTCCATGATCGTTATCATTTTAGATTTTATATTTAGGTCTTTGATCCATTTTGAGTTAGTTTTTGTGCATGGTGTGAGGTATGGGTCTTGTTTCAGTCTTTTGTAGATGGATATCAAGTTATGCCAGCACCATTTGTTAAAGAGACTGTCTTTTCCCCAGTTAATGGACTTCGGGTCTTTGTCAAATATCAGCTGCTCATAGGTGGATGGATTTACGTGTGGATTCTCAATTCTGTTCCATTGGTCTATGTATCTGTTGTTGTACCAGTAGCAGGCTGTTTTGACTACCATGGTGGTATAATAGGTTCTAAAATCAGGTAGTGTGAGGCCTCCCACTTTGTTCTTCTTCTTCAGTAATGCTTTGCTTATCCGGGGCCTCTTCCCTTTGTATATGAAGTTGGTGATTTGTTTCTCCAGCTCCTTAAAAAATGCCATTGGAATTTGGATCGGGATTGCATTGTATCTGTAGGTCACTTTGGGTAGAATAGACATTTTCACAGTGTTGAGTCTTCCTATACGTGAGCAAGGTATGTTTTTCCACTTACTTAGGTCTCTTTTGGTTTCTTCTGGTAGTGTCTTGTAGTTTTCTTTGTATAGGTCTTTTACATCTCTGGTTAGATTTATTCCTAAGTATTTTATCTTCTTGTCATTACTCAAATTCTTTAGGGAGGAAATTGGCCATTGTGTTGTTTCATGTATCTGTGCTTTTGCAGAAAGGAAGAAGAGACTTATGTTTAGTAATTCTCCAGTTGTTGTTTGTTGTTGTGATTGTGTGCTGTCAAATCGCTTCTGACTCCCAGTGACCCTATATGACAGAGTAGAACTGCCCCATAGGGTTTCCTAGGCTGTAAATCTTTATGGACCAGATTGCCAGGTCTTTTCTCCTGCGGAGCACTGGTGGGTTCAAACCACTGACCTTTCAGTTAGCAGTCGAGTGCTTAACCACTGTGCCACCAGAGCTCCTAATTCTCCCCCTACTGGGTTCCAACTATGGAAAAGTTTAGCTGTTCTTAGCAAGTGCTGGACCAGAACAGTCCCAGCAATTGTTTTAAGTGATTGTCAGACAAGCATCAGATCTGAGGTGAGAAGGATATTGCCAGAGAAGTATCTCAGTTGTCTGTTAGAAACTTATTCAAGTTCATTAGAACCAATGGTTGTTGAGCGTTGACGACAGAAGGCAGGGAAGCACAACTTGTTTTTTTCAAACCAAATGAACGCTGTTTTGGAGGTTATGATGGAGAATTCAAGTTGCATGAGTGAGGAAGCTGAGGCCTAGAGAGGTTAGGTTGTCAGAGGTGGCAGAAAGTGGGAAAGCGTTAAGTAGCACGTAAGACTCCTTATTGTTTAGTGTCCAGTGCTTTTTCACTTCCCACGTGCCAGGATATTTCCCATGTTTATGTTATGTAGTTTTACAAACAAATGCTAACCATCTGGATACTGCTATTGGCAATCCCCATCTTTCAATACAGAGACATAGGGTTGCAGGAAAACTGGCACATTTTGGGAAGGCAACACCGCATGAAATCGAGTCATCGAACAAAATGAAAGACAAACCATCCGGAAAGAATCTGGGTCAGGAGCCAAAAACTCAGATGCCTACAGGAGCCAGGCAGATAATGTGAATAACTGAAGTAGTAGATGTCATAGCTGTCTAAGAATGCAGGCCTAATATTTTGAGATCTTCTGATATTTTAAGAGGAACTAAAAATCTGAATTTTTATGTGAAATCTCAGAGCTTCTAAATGTTGGCTACTATTTTTAAAACCACATTAAATACTATGCAGACCCAATATATGTTTGCAGGGCTAACATGGGCAGCTAATTTGCAAAGGGTGCCTGTAAGAATTTTGTATTTTTTTAGACTATTTTTTCTATCTTGTCATATATGCTGTATGTATGTATATGAAAGTATAGGAGTGTGTGTATATAATATGGATATATGAAGAGTTGATACCTATATATCTATACTACTCTCTAAACTGTTATAGAACTTGCTTTGTTCACCTAACAACATGTCTTGGACATTTTTTCTTATCAGTATATAGATAGTCACTCCATTCCTTTTAATGGTTACATGTTTTTTTTTGTTTTTTTTGCAAAGTGAAAGCCATTCTTATTATTAATAGAAAGCAAACAATAAACACTAACAACAGATTTTCAAAACAAGAACCACTTGCCCTTCCCAGCATTACCCATGTCCATTCGTATGTCACTGGGCAGGCACACCATGGATCAGGTCACATGCTGGGTTCATGTCACCATGGCCTCCAGCTACTGCCACGTGGCTCAGGGGGCCTGCACAGTTCCCAAGGCTTCTGCCATGCTACCCAGGCCTGTGGGGATCTCTTGCTACCACACTACCCGGGGAGGAGGCATGCAACCCCTGCACAAGGCAGACTCAGGCCTCTCTTGCCCTGCACAAGCGTTACAGCTCTTTTAGCTCCGCTGGCAAGCATCCTGCCCAGAGGAGCCTGTAGGAATATGTAGTCCTGCCGTAGGAAGACCCCTGCACAAGATCCTCCGAGGCAACCCCTGCACAGGGCACACTCAGGCCTCTGCGCTGTATAGGCGAGTGTTACAGCTCTTGTAGCTCTACTGGCAAGCCTCCTGCTCAAAGACGCTCAGCTCTTACCCTGTGAGCTGGCAAGCTGACCGCCATTGTCTCTCACCATCTTGTACCATCTTCAGTGTTACAGCTCTCTTCTGGGCCTAGGAGGTTCTCAGCACAGGGACCCCAGGTCCAAAGGATGTGCTCTGCTCCAGACTCTTCTTAATGGTAGTGAGGTCCCCCTGAACCTCTGTGGGATTGGCCCTTATATAAGTTTACTTCTTGTCAATTTAAAGGCATGATGCTCCCAGCAGGACCACAAACTGACCAATCACCTCAACAGACATAAAACCCAGAAAACGAAATCTGTTGCCAGTGGTCCATTCTAACTCATAGCAACTCTATAGGACAGAGTAGAATTACCCCATAGGGTTTCCAAGGAGCAACTGGTAGATGCGAACTGCTGACCTTTTGGTTAGCAGCCAAACAATTGGCTGTGCCACCAGCGCTCCCAATAGACCATAAGTCACTCAATCTGCATAGTCCCAGCCAATGATTTTGTGGGAGTTATAAAATCATGGCTAGAAAGGCCATATAAAAAGATTCATTGCACTTCATGTAGTTTGGTGGCTTTTCCTGGGTTCATCAAAATCTGGTTGCCATCCAGTTGATTTCGATTCATGGTAATCCCATGAGTGTCAGAGTAGAACTGTGGTCCATAGGGTTATCTTTCTTTCTTTTTTTTCATAATACTTTATTATGTTTTTGGTGAAGGTTTACACAGCAGTTTAGATTCCCATTCAAAAATTTCTACACAAATTATTCAATGACATTGATTACGTTCTTCACAGTGGGTAAACATTCTCATTTCTGTTCTCATTATATGTTTTTCATTGCATTGCATAAATGTACCACAGTGTATCTAATTAGTCCCCTAGTATGATCCAAAAAACAAACCCATTACCATTGAGTTGATTTCAGCTGATAGTGACCCTATAGGACAGAGTAGACCTGCCCCATAGGGTTTCCACAGAGCAGCTGGTGGATTCAAACTGCTGACCTTTTGGTTAACAGCCGTAGCTCTTAACCACTGCACCACCAGGGCCCCCCTAGTATAACAGATCATTATTGTACTTTGTCACCATTAGACTCTTTGCTGCATTGAACACTCTTATACACATATCTTTGTGCAATTGAGCAAGATTACCTGTAGGATAAGTTCTTAGAAGTTGTATTGTCAGGTCCCAGCATAATGAACTTCTAATTTTTTGCTAGATACATTAAAACCCGTGAAAGTTGGAACCTATGTAAGGCGGAAGCTTGTCAGAGAAGGAAAACCCAAATATTTTCCACTAATAGAAAGTGATAGCAAAGTGGTAAGACTGCACCCTGTCAAAGGCAGAAAACTTTCGAGACCTGGAAAAACAAGGCAGTCCTGTTGAGTTCCACCTCTCACAGGTTTCACAGTATTTCTAAATTGCCCTTCAAAAAGGTGGTATGAGCGAACACTCTCACCAGTAGTGTATGAGAGTGCCTTATCCCCTGAGATTATTAAATATAATTGCCCCATCTTTTGTCTTTCATTATGACATTTCTGTCCTGCTCTCTTCCATGATTTGTCTGTATCTAACGTATTTGGGCATTGGATTCAGCTTTGTTGCATGGACAGCAGGGCAGTTTTTTACCCCACGGGCACTCTCACTTTGACTCGCTCAGTAGATATCACACCAGAATCCTGGGAGTGGACAAGTCTTCTCTGGAACAGCCTTGGATATAGTGAGAGATGCGCAACTCTTCGGATCATGTAATACTATACTGACCTCTCTTATCTGGAGTATAATTTTCATTTCGAAAACTGTATTATTTGTTTCACACACACAATCACATCATCAAGAAGATATGGTCAGTGGAATACTCTATTAGTACTGAATATGGATAACCTAGCATTTAGAGACTCATGACTAAAGAAAACGGCGTTTTAGGGGTTTAAACAGAAATCAGAGCTGTAAGCCTTCCATGGCTCCACTTGGTTGACCAGGTCTTTCTTTCCCCAGGACTCTTCTCAGGGGAGCTCCCGGAGTGTACCCAGGAGCTGATGATTGACGTCACCAAGAGCTACTACCAGAAGTTTTTGCCCCTGACACAAGTCTAGTGTCTCTGCCCCGTGTCTTGAATTTGCCTGAGCTCTAAGATGAACTTGGGGATACAGTGAGCCCATCGTCACTTACAAAGAGCTCTTATGTGTTTGACACCTCCCACCCACCCTCTTTTTTTTTTTTTTTCTTAATTCTTCAGAGTTTTTCAATCCTTCAAGGCTCTAAGCTCTTAAAAATTTAGTAACAGAACATCTGGAGGCATTGTCTCCAAATGCTCTGCTTAAACTTTATTAACTTGATACTGTTATCTTCGGAACAAAGAACCATCTGTTCCCGATGCCCTGGCCTGGTGGTCCTGTGGCTGGATAGATCTTGCCTGAAACAGGCCACCCGAGCAGGAGCACTTTATCAGAGCAGGGAGGTTATGTAGCGGGTGTGCTGTCATGGCCTTCAGGCTGCCCACAGTGAGCTCACACTCACACGGATCACTCTCAGCTTCCCTGCTGCTAACACATTGGCTGGTGGCCACATTGCTCATAATTCTGGAAAAATGTGTTCGTGAATCTTCAGAACCTAGATTCCTGAAGGGCACTAAAACTTGAAGGGAGGGGTGCTTAGTGTTTCTTTTCTTCCCAGAATGACCTTTGCTGTCCCCAGGGTGGTTAGTAAGAGACTTTCTAGCATTCCATTGTACGGTCTTTGGCCTTCACTAAAAGGAGGGACCTTAGCACCCTAGATTCTGTGTTGCAAAGTCCCAGGTTTGAGTCTCCCATGTAGATAGGCTAGTTTGGCAGTCACTCCTTATCTGAAGATATTTTGGGGCAATGATAAACTATGCCTTATCCCATTGTAGACATAGCATTCGTGATACTTGCTGTTTGGCTAGAACCATTCAGCCCACCCTGTAAAGGCCATAAAACCCACATAGTTCAGACCAAAATATCTGTACTTGGACTCAATCACATATGTTCTTGTGGGGCTGTTAGAACTGTCTTGTGGGCACAAGACCCCAAGGATTCAGTGAAGTCACCAATGCCATTCTTACCACCTCCTTCTGGTCATACAGCCCTTCCTGATTCTGCTCTGACCTTGGCTTAAGAAGGAAGATTTAGTAGTGAGGGGCTGAGGAGGTTGACCTTGCTTAATGTCTGGTTCTGCTGTAAACAAATAGGGTAGATGCCTTCAACCTTGAAGGTTAGAATCTTGCAGGAGCCTTCTTGACTTAATATCCGGCTGTAGGGTTTGCAAATACAGCTGTATGTAATCATCGCTGCTAGTTCAGTGTAAAACTGCTTTCTGGTTTGTCACTTTTTTTGTGTTTGTACATTAAAAGAGCCATCCATGAAAGAAGTCGTGTGAAGGTATTACTTCTCTTCCTCAAGCAGGTTAATATGTGCCAGGGGCTGGGCTGTGCATTCTACATTCTCAAGATTGCTTATTTCTCATGACAACTCAGTAAGGTGGATGTCATTCCCATTTTATAGATGAGAAAACAAACTCCAGACATTAGGTAACTTGCTTTAAATCAGTCATCGGAGAAGTGACTGACCAGGGAGTCACACCCATGTCTGTCTGGCTCCATGGCCTGTGCTCTTCAGCTCTGTCTTGGAAAGACGTATCTGCTTGTGTCCCATCTGACACCAGCAGTCTGTTAATGGCTGCAAGTGTTTTTGTCTTATTCTGGCATCTTCCCCCAACTCCCTTCTCCTTTTGTGCCATCAGAAATTGGCAAAGCTTAGATGCTCCCTAGGCTAACCTCTTGCTTACTGCAGAACTCTTCTGAGACATGTCTAATTACCATCCAGCCTGTATTTGAACATCTCCAAAAGGAAGCTTGCCATGTTAGGTGACTGACTGCCCAGTTTGTTGGTAAACAACCAAAATCAAGAAAAAATGTGTAAGTGTGTGTGTGTGTGTGTGTGTGTGTGTGTGTTGTTGTTGTTTTAGCCTCTTACAACAAACATGATTTTAAAATCTTTAAGTATTCCAAGCACAGGGCTTCAAATATCCAATCCAAATAGTGGAGAAGGAGAAGGATATATATAATGAAGTAGATCTTCCCCATCCAGAATTCTAGTCCCACGTTCTACTTCCCAGAGACAACCACTCTGAACAGGTTTTGGTCCTACCAGAGATGGTGTGTGTGTCTGTGTGTGTGTGTGTGTGTGTGTCTGTGTGTGTGTCTGTGTGTGTGTCTGTGTGTGTGTGTGTCAACCTCTGTTTTTATTCACACAAATGGGAGCATGCTATTTGTGCTATTCTATACCTTGCTTCTTTTATTTAATAATATATCTTGGCGATTGTGCCATATTAGCACATACAGGGGATAATAGCAATTGTTAACATCGAGTGTCTTCCATGTACCAGGTACTATTCTGAACTGCTTACTGATTCCTTTAATCTCAGTAACTGTAAGGTACAGTTATTGTTCCCAAGGTACACAGGCTAAATTAATTGCCCAAAATGCTACAGCTAATACAATGGTGAATCTAGGCATTCTGGCTCCAGAGTCCATATTTTCAATCACTATGTTGTAATTTCTCTATGTTGTAACACTTTTCATTGCCCAAAATTGTGTCATCTGGCCAGCCCTTGCTTTACAGAAAGCTAAGAAAGTGAGTACTTTGCTTTGCTAGGCAGGCAAGAAAAAGGGATATTGGGAATGGGCATTGGATGAATCAGCGTGTCTGCCGTGGCAGGAAGCCTAGTGTCCCCTCTGAGGAGACTGTCTCCTTGCAGTGTGCCCTGTTGTTCTTGCAGCCACATTTGTGGCCTGACTAGTTAAATGGGAGCAGGTTACTTGGGAGAATTTTCCTGCGTGCAGTCATTAAATGGTGTCTTAAACTTCTGTACAATGCAGTTGGCACTCTACAAAGGAATATGCAAAGTAGATTAGACAAAAATCCAGTTAGAACGCTTTGTTGCAAGTGACAGAAATCCAACTTGAACCAATTTAAGCAAAAAAAGGGGTTTTACTGGCTTATACAACAAATGGAAAGGACTAGTTTGAGATGCAATGTAATGGGTAATGGGCCAGTTCCTTAATCTCTCTGCTCTGGTGTCCTAATCTGTATAGTGTGAATAACAGTAGCAGTAACCTCATAGCATTGGTGTGGATTAGATAAGTTACTATATGTGAACATTAAGGACAGTTCTTGTCACTTAGAAAGTACTCCATAAGTAATAGCTATTATCATTGCAGGGACAGCTACATCCAGGGATTTAAACCCCATCAGGGCACATTGTTTTTTATGTCTTCACCTGCATGTTAGTAAAGGTAGTGACGCGGTAACAAAGAGATCACCAAGATACAGTGGCTCAGACACCACGGAAGTTTATTTCTCTCTCACCCAACAGTGCAGAGGTAGGCAGGTGGTCCAGGGCAGGTACGTGGCTGGGCTCCACAGTGTCATCTAAGCACCTAGGTTCTTACTGTCTTGTCATGTGGCAACACTTAGCTACAGGGGAGGCTGTGCATTTAGTCTCTAGCTGGGCAGCCATGTGCCCAGCCAAAACTCTGAAGAAGGAGGTTCTAGTATTAAAAAAGAGAAGAGAGAATGGATATTGGGAGAGCAGCAAGCAGGCTTCCTTTTCTCCTCCTGCAAATGGACTTTCTCTTTGCTTTGGGGAACATGGAATGACAGCTCCAGACTTAGATCCTCCTAACTTGGTGACCCTGAAAGAAAGGTTTTTTCCCTTCCAGTTTTAATTTGGAAAATCCCGAAGAAAGGTTCTCCATGGCTTGTCACAAGTCACATGCCATCTTGGCTCAATCAGTGGCCACGGGTATGCAGTCCTATGATTAACGCAATCTGGGTCATAGCCTTTCCTCCATCCCCCCATGGTGGGAAAAGAGCAGTCTGTTACCAGAAACAAGGTGCTGGGCAGACAAAAACAATAGCTACTACAAACAGTGAGGGAGTCTGTCATTGTGTGCTGGTATTGTTTAAAGGTGTGTTGACAATTGCGGGTGTATGTCCTAGGAAAGGCCAGCTGGACTCTGTCTCCATGGTGGCTCTTACCCCTGGGACAGTCTGTCACCAGACCAATTACTTTTATAACCCCAGGGAAAGTCTCTTTGTCCCTAGAATGCTCCCAGAAGAACAGGCAAATAGGAGATACTTTGGTTGGGACTCTTCCCGGTTGGCTTAGGGCAAGAAGGGATTTATTGGCTCATGCAGCTGAAAAGGCCAGGGCTAGACCCGGCTTCAGGCTGGATCCCAGGACTCAAAGCAGTGTCGTGAGGAATCTCTCTCTCTTCATCTCTTGGCTCTGCCTTTCTTTGAGTTGGCTTCATTCTCAGGTTTCACCACATGACCTTTCAGTTCTAGTTATTGGTAGAAAGAGCACCCCTTCCCTAACAAAACCCCTGGGCCTGGGTCTCATTGGCCCAAACCAGGGAATATATCCAAGCCTCAAATAATGACTGTGGGCAGGAAAGTGGAATATGCTGATTAGCTCTGTCTGGAGCATATACTCACATGGACCGAGAGTTGGTGGCTAGCAGGGCAGACGAGTGATGTTACCAGAAGAAGGGATGACTGGATGCTAGGCAGGAAAACTCATTAGGCGTCCAGTACAGGCCTCTTCCCTTTCCCCTGATATCTTCACTTTCCTCTGTTTTCCTGCTCACCCGTACCTCTTGTCCAGTCTCATTACTGTTACACTCTGATTTTTTTTTTCTCCCTTTGGGATAACTGGGGTGTTCCATAAAGAGCCATTTGGAGGATGCTCTTCTGTCTGGAAGTGCTTCCTTGTGGACCCCATAGCACTTGATGGAGGGCCCTTGTCCAGGTCTGGGTAGAATTCTGGTTATGTGCCTGTGTTTGTGTGTGAGCCCACACTGGCTGTGAGCTCCTGAGGAGTCAAGCGTGAGCCTGTGGGTATCCAGTGCACACTTAATGAAGTCACTGCCTGTATGTGAGCCCTCCCAGCCCAAGTCCAGATAAGCCTCACTATGCAGGACTTCTGGTGCAGGGAACAAGGTTGAATGTTTGACTTGTGAGCTTCCTGTTGACCGGTTTTGTTCCTCTTGGCTACATAGGCTCCTCTTGTGGTTGGTTGGGGTCTGAGGTGGCTCTGAATTAATTACTTGAGCATGAGACAGTTTACTCAAAGCCTGAGGGCACAGTTCTTTTCTTAGTGTCTCTGACCCATCTGGGGGATGGTAGACTTGAAATGAATCAGACAAACATTGCTCCCGTTAAACACACCCTCGGAAGTTTCTCTGCAACAAAGGAGTCTTGGCCAGGAGGGCCTTTCTCGGCATTCTGATCTGGTTGAGGAGAGCCCAGAGGGTGCTCCTAGCCATGTCCTGGCTGGCCCTCAGCCATTCTCCAGGGCAGATTGGCATCAGACAAACTCGAGTGGTTGCTATGGGTGGCCAGGTCCAGCTGGCTGATCTCTTAGGGATGGCGACTGCATTCTGTGGCACTGCAAGGACCCTGAAATGAAAGTAGCAGTGCTGGGACCGTGTGTCCAGAAGCCTGTTTATTTCAGAACTTGTGTCAGCAAAATGTCCTGCTAGTTTGGACCAGTTCCCATAAGTCCATGGTCAGTGAAGCATTTCTGGAGCCTCCAGTGACAAGGTTGTGCCTTTGTAGAACTTAAATTGCAGTTCTTTTGGGGTAGGAAGGTGGGGCCTTGCCCATGCTACAGAGAGAAAGGAGGTACCATTCACTCATTTATTCATATAACAAATAATTACTGGGCCACTGTTGGATACCAGGCACTGGCCTAGGTTCTAGGGATACAGTGGAAAATAAGAGCCAGTTTTTGCCATAGAGATCTTACAGCTGAGTGGGGAGAAAGCTAAGGAAACAGAACATAGAGTTCTCTGATGGAGGCCTGAGGTGCTGGTCTTGAAAGTCACCATAGTGGTGAAGAGTGTGGGGCCTGGTCTTAGGCGGATCAAGTCCCAGCCCTGCCATTTACCAGTCTTGTGACTTTGGGCAAGTTAGCTCACCTCATGGAATCTCAGATTTGTTATCCATAAAATGGGGAAGGGACTGTTATGGTGATCTAAATGCATTCATACATGTAAAGCATGGGTATAGTGTCTGGTTCAGGGTAAGCACTCAATAAATGGTAGTTACAATTACTGTTGATATTGGGAGATGATACATCTTGAACAAAAACCCCTTATAGGACAGCATTCTTATATATTTTCAAAATTTTTTTCTTAATTTTGTTGAAAATATACCCAGCAGAACATACACCCATTCATCAGTTTCTGCATACATATTTCAGTAACGTTGGTTACATTCTTCACATTGTGTCACCATTCTTGCTGTCTCTACCCATATTATTTCACCAACATTGAGTTACACTCACTACCCCCTAAACTTCTCATTTATGCTTCAGAGTTACTGCTGGCGGTTTGATCTCATATAAATAATTCTTTAAAAAAGCACAGTGCTTATGGCGAATATTCTTTACTCATTTAGCAAAACAGTTGTTTAGTTTAAAGATGACTTCAAAGGATAATTTTGGTTCCTAGTTTGAAGATTTTCTCAGAGTGCTAGATTCGGGGTTTCCTCCAGTCTTAATGAGCCCAGTGAGTCTGGCTTCTTATAAGACTATACAGTTCTGTTCCACATTTTCCCCCCTTTTGATCAAGATTCAGCTCTTGATTCCTTGATCAAAACGTTCAATAACGGCAGCCAGCACCATCCAGTTCTTCTGGTCTCATGACTAAGGAGGCAGTAGTTCATGGAGGCAGACCTGCAGTTGAGTTCCTTCTCTGATTCCTGGGTCCCCTTCTCCCTCTGCTGCTCCATTTTTTAAAAATTTTAAAGTAAAATTAAGAACATCTTGCCCTTTATAATTGGTCTACTACAAAGAAGAGTTGGGGAAAAGAACTCATCCTTCCTTGTTTTGCATCTACAGAGTGCCAGGCACTTAATACAAAACACTTAATCCTCCCAACTTTTAAGACAGTAGAGGTTTTTGCAACCCATTTTACAGAGGAGGAAGCTGACGTTCAGAGAGGTTAAGTAAATTTGCCCAGCATCACACAGTTGATAAATGGCTGAGT